TATATACATTATATATAATATATAACTTTATAGTATAAGACTACAAACTGTACAGCATAAGACTAACAACTGTACAGTACATGAGTACCAACTGTACAGTTCATGACAACCAACTGTACAGGTCACTGGTGTGGGGGTACTCTAGTGGACCAAGACTGGGTGATAACTGCTGCACACTGTGTACAGAAGTAAGAAATGGGGGGGAGGGCCAAGGGGGGGTGAAGGAGGATTAGGAGATGAGGGGGAAGAGGGAAGGTGTGAAAGTAGGAAGAAGTGGAAAAGGGGAAATGGTAAAGAGAGGAAAGAGGAGAAATAAAGGAAAGAAGGAAGTGGGTGGAATCAGGGAAAGTGGGTAAGGTAGGGAGCAGGGAAAGGACAGGAAAAAGAAATAAGGAAAAAGTTTACAAATGAAGTAGAGATGAAGGGCTAGAAGTAAAAAGGAAAATAGAAAGAGCACGAAAATTGTAAATTAAAGAAGGAATGATTAAAAGATACTGTTGTTAATCACTAATGGCACTTTCAGGATTTTTGAAGTTGGGATTAGGGCTTGGCAAAGTTTCCTTTACGAAATGAAGGTTTTTTTTAAAAATTAACGAAGGAGTCTGTTAACGGCAAAAGCTGTTATTTTTTTAAATCGTTAACTAACGGAAATAGCCGTTTAAAAAAGTTACGATTGAAAAAAAGTAACATACGTGTTTGAAATTAACGATTTTGTTTGCTTAAAATTCCATTAAACGATTTCTAACGGTAGCTTTTGAAAATAACGGAAAATACCGTTAACGAAACGAACGTTCTGTTTTTTTAATAGTTTTAACTATAGTCGCAAAGGAACGACTGGATAAAACATATCAAGCCCTAGTTAGAATATATTTCAGTTTGAATAAATAGTTGTTTAGTAAAATAGTTGATGTTCTGGGAGGAGGAATATGGAACGTGGTTCTTGGTGAATATGACAGGAGAGAAAGATAATTTCTAAAATCTGAAAAATTTAAATTTAAATTTAAATTCAAATAATCATTTTTTCAAAACATTAAAATTGTTCTGAAAAATATTCAAAATTCAAAATGGAAAATAGGAGAAAATTAACCGGAAAAAAATTTCAATTAAAATTTACTTAATTGTTATAAAGTGACTTAATTGTTATAAAGTGACTTAATTGTTATAAAGTGACTTAATTGTTATAAAGTGACTTAATTGTTATAAAGTGACTGTCAACGTAAAGAGAGCCTTGCACGTTTCACAACCTGTGTCTCAGCAATAACGTTGTAGATATTCATGTTTTCTATCTGATAATTGATAAGTTTCAATTTTGGTTTCTATTGTGACTTGCAGATTTGTGAAACAAGGCGCTGGACTGAAATGATTAGCATCTTCCACATTTTTGATCAGATAAAGGTTTAAATGGTTCCGTTGTGAATCCGTCATGACCCTCGATGAACGCACGTCCACAGTTTCTTATAAAGATTACTTTTAAATATTAATCTCAGAAAGAAGATCGAAGGAAAAGAGATAAGAATGGTGATAGATGATATAATTATCCATCCAAACTTTACCGAATATCAACATGACCTAGGTAAGCATTCACCCCTTCTTCTTCACTAGTAGGGATGTGCCGGGTACCTAGCCCCCCCCCCCTTCTTCACTAGTAGGGATGTGCCGGGTACCTCCCCCCCCCCCCCCTTCTTCACTAGTAGGGATGTGCCGGGTACCTAGCCCCCCCCCTTCTTCACTAGTAGGGATGTGCCGAGTACCTACCCCCCCCTTCTTCACTAGTAGGAATGTGCCGGTTACCTACCCTCCCTTCTTCACTAGTAGGGATGTGCCGGTTACCCCAATAGCCATGCGGAGAAAGTAACGAAATAACTTTTTCTTTAAACGATGATTAAATAGTGTGAATAAAATTTCTCCTCGTGTTTGCAGAACTCACTTTTAAGAACATAAAATACGATGTTTCAATAAATGCATTTGGATATTTACGTGGAATAATAGCAATGTTAATTAATTTTATCATAATACCATCAAAATACCAAAAAATACCAGCCGATAACTTCTTGCAAAATATAGAAACAATTTAATTTGTTTGTATTTAATGATTTTCACATATTTCCATGACATCTATTCTATTTAATTATTAATCAGTAAATGCATATATCCTCTGCAGAAATGTCATTTTTCAGATGGAAAATACTATTTTTGAAAACATTTATAATTGGAAGCTGAAACTTTTAAAATTGCGATGCAATCTAGAAGTTCCGACCGGAACAATGACACGAAACAGAAAAGATTTGGTACAGGAAAACCATTCAACAACCGATGTTGTTCTTCCTGGTCGTAGAAACTCGACAAAGGGACTACACTGAGTGGGGTATCAAAATGTCATTTCCGATAAATATACGGTGATTGAAATGAAAACTTCTTTCGATTTAAATTTTAATTTATATCAAGCTTTTAAACAACATGGATACTCAAAAACACGGTAACAAAGAGAAGCTGTCGATTAAAAAAGCTCTCTTTAATTACTTGTAAAGTTGATATTCGAATAATTAATAATTAAAACTTAAAGAAAAAAGTCGTCTTCATTATATTGATATCATCGCTTACCATCGTATTTTTTAATCTTTTTCTTCTGATGCATATCGATGCAAATATCGATTTTGTGATAAGAATAAAAGTTGCCAATTTTAGATGTTTCAAGAGTCGTTACTAAAATGAAAATTGAAGTAGCATCATTGTGAATCTGTAAGGGCATTTCCTTTCTAGAATGAGTTTTTATCACTTCATTTCCTAAAACTTTGTAAAAATAATACAAGGAACGTATTCAGGATGAATTCTGAGTAAAACTAAAGTATATTAATAATAGTTTTGCTGATCATATACAAATATTAAATTATATGCATCAGCAAAACTAAAAAACTAAAATTTTGCTTGTTTTTTAATTAATTAATGAATTTAAGAAATATTGTTAAATTAATTTTAAGATATTTTTAAAATTACGTTTAAGGACCATGTCTGTGAAAATAGATAAATCTTACAAATTGAATTTCGATTATAAAAACTTCAAAATTTAGAAATGGGTGGAATGTTTCTTCATATTAAGATTTGTCTAAAAAAAATTCTGAATTTAAATTAATTTAATTTTTTTTCAGCCATGCTTCGTCTTCCGTTTAGTGTGAAAACCTTGAATCCAATATGTCTCCCAGAACCTGAACACGTGACAGGACTCATGTAAGTATAAATATCCAATATGTCTCCCTGAACCTGAACACGTGACAGGACTCATGTAAGTATAAATATCCAATATGTATCCTTGAACCTGAACATGTGACAGGGATTCACTTGTTGCATGTACGATTCAAAACGAAAATATTATTTATTCTGATTGTGGGTTTTCTATTACTTCTATTATTACTTATTAGTGTCCAAATTCAACACGTTTTAAAATATATAACCGACAATATCTTCGTCATGTTACTCAGATAGAGGTTTGAAGGGTACAATTGTGAATCAGGCATACCACCCTTTAGCTGGAGTGTCTGTTGAAATCACATGTGCACTGTACAGTCCCTCTTCAAGATGAAACTAAAATGACGACTTAACATTATTTCATTCTGAAGTTCGAACTATTATTTAGTTATTTAAATATATATCAGACGATTTGACAAGATAAGGAAAAATTATTTCGCTATACGAGCTTTGAATGTTAGATAAATGGCTGATTCGGCTGATTTTTGAAGTCTTTTTTTGGGGTAGCACTGTAGAATACAATTAGCATTCAAATACAAGTTGTTTAGATGCATAGAAAACAATCAAGCATTCGGTTTAATAATTGTGCATGATATTTTATTCCTTGCAAAAAGTAGGTTTCTTTTTTCATTTTTTGTTGCAATTTTCTATTTTATTTTTTTCTATTTTATCCCATTCTATTATTTTCTGTCCTATTTTATTCTGTTATATTTTATTCTATTCTGTTATATTCTATTCTATTCTATTCTATTCTATTCTATTCTATTCTATTCTATTCTATTCTATTCTATCATATTTTATTCTATTCTATTCTATTCTATTCTATTCTATTCTATTCTATTCTATTCTATTCTATTCTATTCTATTCTATTCTATTCTATTCTATTCATTATCATTATTTTCATTATTATTATTATTATTATTATTATTATTTTTATTATGTTCATTGTAGGCTTCAATGCGTGTATTAGATAATCGAAGCTGTGCTGATATGTATAAGATAAAATATGGAATCAATATTCAGGAAAACACATCAACTTTAACAATAACAAGACACGAGTTAAGATTTATTATACATTTTTTCACGCGAGATTTAGTTTGTAACAGCATGGTACGTGTCTACTATTAAAATATTTTTATTTTTTGTATTCCATTATATTTTAGGGGCCCCATTACTTTTATATGTAAAAAACTTATAAAACCTTCACACAGTTATCTACATAGTCACGAAATAGCGAGAACGGGTCTATTTTGAAGAGTTTCAAGGCCTTTCCCTACCGACGTCACTTTTTCGCAGTCTTAATGACGTAATTAGCGAAATCCTAGAATGGTGAATATTATTGTTTATGTTTTTGAATGCAGGAAGGCCATGTGTGTGCCGGAAGTCCCTCCGGAAGTGTGGAAAGGAGTACAGGCGCATGCGTGGTAATTTATCATTATTTTTCAAAAAGTGTCTTTTTATGAAATGTCTTCTATCAAATGTCCTATCAATATATTGTACTGTCCATAAAATGTCCTGGCTATTAAATGTATTTTTATGAAATGTTCGAACTGTTTGTTTACATTTTTGCCCGAATATGCAGTACACTTTTTTGTAAACGAAGTCACGTGGGTTCATGGTGTATCTTCGTCAAACCTTTTCCATTTTCATTTTTTATTAAAGATTAGGTTTTAAATAAATCTTTTCTGCTTTAAGGGGGACAGTGGAGGACCTTTGCAGTGTAATATGAAGGTGAATCAATCAATTAATTAATCAATCAATAAATTAGAAAATCAATTGTAAATCATTAATTATATAGAGAACATTGCAGAATTCTCAATCAATCAATCTTTAAATTAGATAATCAATTGTAAATCATGAATTAAAAATTAAACATTGCATAATTCTTAATCAATCAATCATTCAATTAACCAATCATTTATTAGAAAATCAATTGGAAATCATGAAATAAAAAGTAAACATGGCAGAATTCTCCATGAATCAACCATTAAATTAGAAAATCAACTATAAATCATGAATTATATGGATAGCATGACAGAATTTTCAATCAATCAATAATTAAATTAGAAAATCAATAATAAATCATGAATTATATGGATAGCATGACAGAATTCTCAATCAATCAATCATTAAATTAGAAAATCAATTATAAATCATGAATTATATGGATAGCATGGCAGAATTCTCAATCAATCAATCATTAAATTAGAAAATCAATTATAAATCATGAATTAAAAATTAAACATTCTCAATCAATCAATCAATTAATCAATTAACCAATCATTTATTAGAAAATCAATTTGAAATCATAAATTAAAAGGTAAACATTGCAGAATTCTCAATCAATCACTCAATTAATAATCTTTTGATATTTTTAGGATGGATTATGGTATATGGTTGGACTGACCAGCTTCGGGTCAGGTTGTGCTAAACCTGGATTCCCTGATGTTTTTATGCGAATATCTCATTACAAGGAACTTATTAGAAACTTCACAATTGTCGCGTCTAAAGGGAGTGTTCGTGAAAGATTAGGTAGGAGTAAGTAACTGCAGTAAACCGCAATGAAAGTTGATTTTATGAAATCAATTTATAATAGGCTTGCCGGGCGATTCAATCTTATTTTTTGTAACAATTTTAGCCGTTAACCATTGCTCTTTAAAGTGCCATTTTTCTTTAAAAATCAATTTTGCAGATGTTTCTGTTTAAACTTTGGGCACTTTTAAAAATATTTAATGTCGACATTTTTTCAGGGTAAAGTATTTCATCTTTAACCATCAATAAACCTTTCCTGGGGTCAAGTGTGTTGATAAACAAAATTTGGACCTAATCGAACCGAACATATTTCCTCCCCTTTACATTTTTTGAAAATATCCCACTTAAGAAGAGAACTTAAAAGTGATTTTATTGAAGTTTATAATAAAGAATATATCAGAGATGGATTGAAGAGATTATTGAACAGTATAAACTGGATTAGTCTCCAAGCTGAAAACTTTATAATTGTGGATATCGAGATCAATGCTTGATCTCCTCTTTTATTAATCTGAAGACTAATTTGATCGTATGTTAATATCCGGGAAATGGTCTAAACTGCAATCAATCCGGTATCAATTGTGGAACCCGAACAGCCAATCAGCAGCAGAAAAATTTCAAAATTTTGGCGCGCAATAAATGATTCGGAGGAAGCAGGAAAATCCAAAGTGTCGACAGTGGATACAGATATTTAGCAATCAGAATTAGGGGTATCCAATACAAGACTTTTCAGCTCTTCACACTTAAACTAATATTTCTACTCGGGGTTATGCAGGCAGTAAATGCTTGTGGAAACTAGAGGAAATCGTCTGAGCCTAGATAGAGACAGATACTTATATTTCTTAACTAACAAAAACCTGTGAAAAAAGACTTTTAATCTTTACCAATACTAGTCAGAATCATCTAGATAAAAAAGGGATTTCAAAGACGACATCGAGATCATCTTTGATATATTTCTTAAATGGTTTAGTTTCTTTTTATTTGAAGAATTAACGGAGATTAAATCTAATATTAAAAAGATGATTAATATCTTTGTCACAACTCTGATTTTGTAATTTCTATATCTGTGTAAGTGGAACCCGATGTCGTAGAACTTTCATAATTTAATCTATAAAGGGGATTAGAAAATTAGAGTTTGTGTCAAAACTAAGTTTTTTTTATATTTTTGTCAAATTTTGTAAAAAGCGACAAAGAGCTTTCTGCAACAACCACTGAAAACTAAATTCTTAATTTGTGTTACTTATATATAGTCAGTGTAAAACTGTGATAAATCTATTTCTTACTTTTCCGATATTTTTTACTGTTGTTTTGTATTTTCGGCATTATTCATGTATTACTGTAAATTGATCAAATTCTTGTATTTATAATTTATATAGACTAGAGGCATTGTACGAACTGAAACTAAGCGTGCTATGATTACAATTCACAAAAATTTAATCAGTCGAAATTTTTATTTTTTAAATTTTTGAATTTTTTTTTGCTTGTGCATTCAGGTTATACGAGCTTATTTATTAAGAGTACGTTAAACCCTTTAAGACTGTAAACTTAACAAAATAATGTTAAAAATATTTTTTTTGTTTTCAATATAGATTACACTCAAAAATTTGATAAACATTAATGGAATAAAACTGAAATAAAATTTAAAAAGAGTTTAATTTATTAAACTTAAAAACGATTAACAGCTAGAGATATATAGAGTATAGACAATTATTATAAATATTTAGTAATTTACAGTTTAACTAGTTTTTATAAAATGTTTCAGAGAGATAGAAATCTTATTTTAAATTTGATTTTACTGACGTTACAAGTTGCTATTAAACCATTTTTTTGTGAGGAAATTTCCATTGTATATCAACATGCTCGTTTTTTTTCTAATGGTGGATAAATAACAATTCAATTAAACAAAAATTGCGTTTCAGACCAAAGGAATTGAGTCTTTGCCACCAACTAAAATTGTCTAATCCCTATATCTTTGCAACCCGATGTTGTAAATCTTTGATATTTCCAGTCTAGATTATTTGATCTAAAAGGTTCTACGACATTAAGTTGCACAGAGATAAGGATTGAAAAGTCAGAGTTTGTGGAAAAAAACTTAATTCCTTTGTATTATATAGAGAGCTTTTGATGATATAATTTTAGTTTATAAAATTCTCATACTTAATAGGTGACAAAGCTTTTTTCCTTTTAGCATTCCTGGAAGTTGAGTGTAGAAAAAAACATGCGAAGTTACAAGGTTGCAATGTTGTACAATTAACTCCACCTTGTTACCCTTGTGTTTATAGATTGGAGTGAAATTTAGGAATATTCAAGATTTGATTTTTTATATTTTCATAAACATTTGATTTCTAAGATTGTAAAACTCGAACTAGTAAACTGCTCCGAAGCCTCCATTGGCCCGTGTATCTCCATTATAACCTCCATTAATAGATGTTGAATCTCCAGGGAATCCTGGAGGAACTTCTCCAGGCTGCTCCTGCAGCTCCTGCTGCTCACTTGAAGGACACGGGTCAGCATCCTCGGACGTCGATGTCACCTAAACACCTCAGGAGTTCATCAATATTGTTATAAACTAGCTAAAGGGCCTGGTGTTGCCCGTTGAATTTTAACATTTGAGAAAAAAATTTCGAATTTTGAAGGAAAAAATTTAATTGTGAAAAAAATTGATTTTGAAAACATTTTTTAATTTTAAACATTTTTGAGTACCCCCAATCCCCAGGGTACTCAAGGGTTCCCTCAAAATATTTTAGCCAATTTTGTTTAGCCGGTTGGCCAGCTATAGCTAACACACATATATATATAGATATTTACATATAAATATATTAGTTTGTCTAATTATAACTCATGAACCTCTTGACGGATTTTGATTGAGGATCTCGGTAGAATCACGGGAATGTTCTTGAAAATTCTTAGTTTAGTGTCGGTTGACATATATATTAACAAGAACATTTAGATTCAAAACAAAGCTGATTTCTCAAGTAATAATTCTCAATAAACTCTCTCTTTTTTAATTTTTAAAATCTACCTTTGCCCTCTCTACCTTGAGATGCCCTCTCTACCTTGAGTTGCCCTCTCTACCTTGAGATTCCCTCTCTACCTTGAGTTGCCCTCTCTACCTTGAGATACCCTCTCTACCTTGAGTTGCCCTCTCTACCTTGAGATGCCCTCTCTACCTTGAGTTGCCCTCTCTACCTTGAGATGCCCTCTCTACCTTGAGATGCCCTCTCTACCTTGAGTTGCCCTCCCTACCTTGAGTTGCCCTCTCTACCTTGAGTTGCCCTCTCTACCTTGAGATGAACTCTCTACCTTAAGATGCCCTTGCTACCTTAGGTTGACCTCTTTACCTGGGTAGAAGTAACCTCTGGATCCGAAGGGAGAGGCGAGGGTTCCCTTTCATATCCTCTCCTCTCAAACTCTCTCCCAGTCAGACCTCTGTACTCTCCCTCTTGAACTCTGTACTCAGAGGCTCTTAACTCTCTCCCACTTCTAAACAAATAAATCAACTAAAAACTATTCTCTAATAGATTGGGAGAGTTAGCAGTTAACACTGTTCTCTGATTAGCTGGTTTCTTATTATTACGAATACTGTTCTTTGATTGGCTGGTTTAAGAAATAAACTAAATACTGTTCTCTGTTTGGCTAGTTCTGTTATAAACTGAATGCTGTTCTTTAATTGGCTGGTTTAATAATAATATGAATACTGTTCTTTGGTTGGCTGGTTTAAGTAGTACTGAATACTGTTCCCTGATTGGATCGCTAAATAATAAAATAAATTTTATTCTTTGACTGCCTAATTTTAAAATAAACTGAAAGCTCCTCTATGATAGGCCTGTTTAAGTAATTAACTAAATACTGTTCTGTGATTGGTTGGTTTAAATATACCTTTCCATCCTATGCTCAGCTCTGCCCCTGTTCGGGGTTCTATAATCCTCCCTGGTCTCAAGGCCCCCTAGGCCCCTGGATGGGATGGACCCCTCCTCCAACCCCCTGAAATCGACCCTAGGCGTCCCTCTATAATCAGGTCTGTCGCCCCTGTAGTACTGAAACAAAACAAATTAATATGAAGATCGGATCATAAAATATTGTGAGTTCTAAACAAGTTTTTAATGTAAAATTTTCAAAACTAAGAAATATTTCTCAGTTTGTTTTCAACATCGAAAACTGAATTTTAGATCAGATCAACGATCAATTAAAACTATAATTCAATATGTGACAGCTGCAATTGAAAATATCGTCTTTTTAAGACTAACCTGGCATTGTTGCTTATGTATAGAGGGATACTGAAGATAGTTGAACTGACCGCTACGCTCCTATACGCAACAAAATCGAAATTGATAAGTTCTCTAATTTATTAACAATGTCAACATTTCTCTCTTTTCTATAGAAACCTTCTTTATACTTAAACAAAAGCATATATCTATATAGATAATTTTTTCAGTCATGTTCCAGATTTGTGTTCTGCCGTTTGTAAAGAAACAAAATTGGAAATTAAATGAAATAGTTTTTAAGAATTTTTTTTTCTAAAAAAAATGTACCAGTGCCCAAATGGTTATATAGTACAAATGTGTACGGAAACAGTTCAAAATGGCGATTTTACATTTTTCTTTCGACTTAAATTCAATCTATATTAATTTATTCTCTTTAGCCGTTTATTGTATGTTAGCACCGTACAAACCAATCTGTTCTATCTCTAGTTAAAATACAGTCCTGCAGGCTGCAGTGTCTAATAATTTTTAATTTTTACCTGAGATTCGTTCTCTGTAATATAAGATGGGAAGTATTGATGATATCCAGGTCTGTTATTTATATGGTTGTTGTACACCTTAATATGTACAGATTAATGTACAGTTACTCTGCACCTTATTATTTGTACGAATAGGGTTATAAACTGTACACCTAGATATATGCGCAGGTTCCAGTACATGACAGTTAATTTGCGTTTTAATAAATGTACAGATTCGAGTACGGTTACTGTTTACTTTATGTACTCTACAAATATATAGGTTGTATAATATTTGCAGGTATCCTCAACTAAGCTTTCGGTATATAGTGCAGTGATGTACTCTGACCGAAGAAAAAGTTGGGTTGTACTGTGTATACCTGGGATAGTACATCTGTGTACTGTGTATGCGGATGTCTTGAATCTTCCTCTGGTTCAACTTTAACCTGCCTAAATCATAAAGATTTTATAGTTTTCAAACCCATTGCTTGCTGAATAATTATTCGATAATAATTTGATATAAATGACACTGAATTGAACACAATTAAGCAATAAATCAATAAATTAATTAATTTATCAATAAAAATACCTTTGATTTTCAGCCACAGCCATCTGAAATAGGGCTTCAGGATCACATACAAACTTATAAACATACCTTTCACCTTAGCAACAGATAAAAATGTAAGCATGAGAAAATTAATGGTACAAATGTTAATGATAATAATAATATTAAATAGGATTAAAATAATAATATTAACAAAACAACTACTTTTACTACTAAATAATAAAAAAATTAAAATAATGATAAGAGAATAAATAGAAACAGAGATGATAATAATATAACAATTATAACGGTAATAATGAAAATGATAACAACAATGATAATAATACTAGTTGTACCTGCAACCTTCTGCATGATCCCCTTCTCGTAGTAGTACCTGAGAGACCTGCTCAGCTTGTCATAGTTCATCGCAGGTCGGTTCTTCTGCACTCCCCATCTTCTCGCAACCTAAACATAACCATCTTCTATCAACCTAAACACAAACATCTTCTAGCAATCTAAAAACAACCATCATCTAGCAACCTAAACACAACCATCTTCTAGCAACCTAAACACAACTATCATCTAGCAACCTAAACAAAACCATCTTCTAGCAACCTAAACACAACTATCATCTAGCAACCTATACAAAACCATCTTCTAGCAACCTGAACACAACCATCTTCTAGCAACCTAAACACAACTATCTTCTAGCAACCTGAACACAACTATCATCTAGCAACCTAAACACAACTATCTTCTAGCAACCTAAACACAACTATCTTCTAACAACCTAAACACAACTATCTTCTAGCAACCTAAACACAACTATCTTCTAGCAACCTAAACATGTCCATCCTAAAGCAACCTAAAGAAAACCAAGATATGTTTACTGTAGGTGATGATGTGGGATTTAACCATGAAATTGTTTCATAGACATATAATTTTCTATCACACGGTTTTTGGACTTCCCCCCATCCTATCGTACATACATACATCTCATATGTAACACATGGATATAATTGGTCATGTTGCCGCAGCGTCCGGCCCCCTATCCTGTCTTAGCCGTAGCGATCGGCGGGGCCCAGAAATTGTCTTAACCTAACCTAATCCTAAAATAATACGAAATAAATAACAATAATTTTACTAAAAATTAGTTAGACATGTAAAAGATTAATAGGTCTAAGGAGGGGGGTGGGGGCTTCCAAAAATCGTATACTATGAAATACTCTGATTTTGGATTATAACCAAGGCTCTATATCAAATAAACGTTAAAGATTGAAATGTCGAAATATTGCTTTCCCCTTGAATTCTTCCATTTAATTATATTTGAAAATTTATCTTCTTGTAAATCCTAATAGAATAAAAATAGACTCATCAGGGATATAGTTTCTAGTTTCTAGTTTCTAGTTTCTAGTTTCTAGTTTCTAGTTTCTAGTTTCTAGTTTCTAGTTTCTAGTTTCTAGTTTCTAGTTTCTAGTATCTATCTAGTTCATGGTTTCTAGTTTGTGGTTTCTAAAAACAGTAAAATCTGAGCCTCCATTTGCCGCCAGCAATGGACTCTGGCGGCAAATCAGTGTGCCTCTAATTCATGGTTTACAGTAGGGAAATTGTTTTGAGTTAAAAAATCAAAATTAAATAATAAATTATTGTTTACGCTAAAGACTGTACGACTAGGAATCCCTTTACCTATCCCTATAGTGTAAACCTTTGATATTTCAAACTTAACATATATGATCTAATAGAATTCATAGTTCGAACTATGTATGGCCCACAATATAGGTTTGCAAAGATATAGGGATTAGGAAATCAGAGTGGTTGTGGTAAATATATATTAAAAATCATGATACCTCTTCCGGTTCAATTAGTTTAAATTCTAAACCTCTTCCTGTCCAGGCAATAGCTCCTGAATTGTAAAAATATATTTATTTTCATCAAATATGATAAGTTTTTAAAATAAAAATCACAGCTTTTTTCTGTAAAAAAACTATTAACCTGAGTTTGATGGATCATCCAGCAAAGTTACCAGAAACTGCCACAACTGCAAGGCTCCTCTTCTGTTTACTCCTATTATAAACAATTAATAACTTAAAGAAGGTTAAATTCATGCGACATTACTGCTACGACTTTGTGACCTCATCTCCTCTAGTTCTAATTTCCTCAGAGTATAAAAAAGCAAATGTATCCTGTTACATATAAAAAAAAATCAAAATATTTGGTTCTTCTCAAATAGAATCTAGTACAATAGATGGCAACGTAGAATTTGTACACTCTCAGTACAGTTGTATTCTTACGTCACAAGTGTCAACTTAGTTTTTGTTTCCAAGAAAATTATTAATAATAGTGATAGATTTAGAATAAAGTGCTTATCTTACCTGAAAATAAGTGCAATTCTATGTGTTCTTTATTTCTGTTTTTACACTTTTTTATTTAATCTTGGAAAACATGTCAACAAATGTGAGAAAATTTAGTTTTTCTTTTTATATTTGACACTTGTGACGTCGTGTATAATTGATCCATTTCTCTGTTGCCACCTATAGTACTAGATAATCTAATTTGTTCTTCCCAATAGCTCATCAATATGAGGAGTTAGGTTTGGCAACATATAAGATTTCAATCTTACGTAAGTACTTTACATTAGATTGACCTCAAGCGTAAACAAACAAAGAAAATTGGACGTCTTTTTCAATCGTCCGACTAATCATCGTTATTGTAACGTTGTATTGTGTAAACCTTTTAGGGTGTTTTGGAAAAGAGGGGATCCTACAGATCCTACAGGATCCTACAGACTGCTGAACATTTGTTTGATTTGACATACAGTCAACTACAAAAATACCGATGTTTCTATATATTACTAGAATTGAAACCGATTTACTCACTAAAACTAAAACGATCTCTAACCTCGAAATGGTTGTGATCTCTATGATCTCTATGATCTCTAACCTGAGAAAGGTTGTGATCTTTGTGATCTATATGATCTCTATTATCTCAATGATCTCTGATCTGAGAATGGTTGTGATCTCTATGATCTCCATGATCTCTAACCTGAAAATGGTTGTGATCTCTTTGATCTCTATGATCTCTAACCTGGGAATGGTTGTGATCGCAATGATCTCTAACCTGGGATTGGTTCTGATTTCTATGATCTCTATGACCTCTTACCTGGGAATACTTGTTATCTCAATGATCTCTAACCTGGGAAAGGTTGTGATCTCTATGAAATCCATGATCTCCAACCGGGGAAGGTTTGTGATCTCTATGATCTCTATGATCTCTATGATCTCTATGGTCTCTATAATCTCTATTGTCTCTGATCTTATTTTCTTTAATCTGGGAATGGTTGTGATCTCTATGATCTCCATGGTCTCCAACCTGGGAATGGTTGTGATCTCTATGATATCTATTATCTCTATGATCTGAATGATCTCTATGATCTGAATGATCTCTATGATCTGAATGATCTGTATGATCTCTATGATCTGAATGATCTCTATGATCTGAATGATCTCTATGATCTGAATGATCTCTATGATCTCTATGATCTGAATGATCTGTATGATCTGTATGATCTGAATGATCTGTATGATCTCTATGATCTGAATGATCTCTATGATCTGAATGATCTCTATGATCTCTAACCTGGAAATGGTTGAGTTCTGTGAAAGTATGTTCCATGTCCTGGCCAGGAATGGTTTCCACTACTAAACTTCTCTGGAACACAAGACCAAAGGTTTCCTGATAAAACATATTAGTATTAAATTGCATTAAAAAAGAGTGTTTACTTTTTGAATAAAACAGAATGCAATCCTAGTTCTCAATACTCCAATTTTTAATTACTAATCATAAAAAAAGAATTCAGCACCAAAATAGATTCAATCACTAGACAATGTTCCCACCATGGAAGGTGATAGGAATACACCCTATGCCAACATCTCCCCCCCCCGGCCCCCCTTTCACCCCACCCCTCTCCTCTACTGGTATTGTTTATCCATGTATCGTATTATTTAGCTAATATTGGTTTAATTAATCAACTTAATACAAAATACAAAATACTCGAGGCAAAAACCGAATTCAAAATTAAAATTCTAAAATGTTAAAAAGTAAAAAGCTAAGGATGATCGAAGATAGGAACTCCTCCCCTCCATGTTTCTATATATATATCTGTAAATGACAGCTGAACGTATAACAACGTTCTAAATGTTCTCAGAGAGTCTATTTTATTTTCATTGTATTTCAAGGATTCTGGTGAAAATTCCAATTTAAAAAATAATCTTAATGTTAGTTTGTTTCCGATGGATGAACCGATTTCGGTGTGTGTGTGGGACCTGGCATGGCTCAAGATGTCGTTTATTGTTCAAAAAAAAATAAAAAAAGAGAAAATCTAGATTTGCTGTTTTCGAAATGTTTTGGAAATTTTACAAAATCAGAAGTTGCTCTGTAAAAAATCTAACAGCAGACAAGATTTTAAATCTAAAAAGAGTATATCGTTGTTTAAAAGGTTTATTGTGATTTCTTTTTGACTGTCTCAGAGTCCTTTTCAGAGCTCGTGTAAGAACCCGTAAAAGGGACTGTAAAGGAAATATGAAAGGGGTATAGGCTGAAAGCTAATCACTTTAGCTCTTAATCGAGACCCATGAAAGTTATATCTGATGTTCCTGTCTCGAGAAATTGAGTCAAAGGAATTGAGTCTTTGTCACAAACTCTGATTCTCTAATACCTATATCTTTGCAATCCAATTTCGTAGACTATGAATTCTGTTAGATCAAAAAGCCTAAGTTTGATATATCAAGGGTTTCCACCATTAGTTTGCCAAGATATAAGGATTAGAAAATTTGAGTTTGTGGCAAACACTCAATTCCTTTATACGAAAATTCATATTTATACAATTTCGTATTAAAGCAAATACGCGACCAATCTGAAAACGAAGATATCCCAGAGAAAGCTAATTGTAACTATTGTAACTTAGGTTTATTCCAAAAATAATTTTATAATTTTTATTTTTATTTTAATAAATATCTACAAAAAAAGTAGTTNCCTCCTACCTCCTACCTCCTACCTCCTACCTCCTACCTCCTACCTCCTACCTCCTACCTCCTACCTCCTACCTCCTACCTCCTACCTCCTACCTCCTACCTCCTACCTCCTACCTCCTACCTCCTACCTCCTACCTCCTACCTCCTACCTCCTACCTCCTACCTCCTACCTCCTACCTCCTACCTCCTACCTCCTACCTCCTACCTCCTACCTCCTACCTCCTACCTCCTACCTCCTACCTCCTACCTCCTACCTCCTACCTCCTACCTCCTACCTCCTACCTCCTACCTCCTACCTCCTACCTCCTACCTCCTACCTCCTACCTCCTACCTCCTACCTCCTACCTCCTACCTCCTACCTCCTACCTCCTACCTCCTACCTCCTACCTCCTACCTCCTACCTCCTACCTCCTACCTCCTACCTCCTACCTCCTACCTCCTACCTCCTACCTCCTACCTCCTACCTCCTACCTCCTACCTCCTACCTCCTACCTCCTACCTCCTACCTCCTACCTCCTACCTCCTACCTCCTACCTCCTACCTCCTACCTCCTACCTCCTACCTCCTATCTCCTATCTCCTACCTCCTACCTCCTACCTGTAGTTAGTAAAACTTCTCTCCTTCTCCTGAAAAAGACAGGAGTTCTTCTTCATCTCTTTCGCGTCTTTTTTCTCTCTTACTGTCCCTCTATCTCGACCCTGCTTCACAGAAACAAAGATATTTAAAGTTTCCCTGTGATGTTTGGATAAAAGATGATAAAGTTTACCTGTGTTTGAAGACTCCCTAGAGGAGATATAGGTTCTTGTTTTATATCAACCGTAGATACTGAAATTAAATAGAATTATTGAAGAAGAAAAAATGTCTCATGCATATATCTTTGCAAACATGATGTTTTGGACCTATGCTATTTTCAACGGTTACCATTTTCTCTCGCTGTAATCAAATTTTGATTAGGTTCCAAAGATTTAACAATTTTAAAATTTTGAGGTTGGATATCAATCAGTTCCTTTATATATGTATATAATATCGCATATACAAGATTGCCAACAAAGGATGAGACTGTAAAGACGACCTGAAACTCTTCGAATAAATTAGAATCCCAAGGTTAAATTAAGTTTATAAACGTGGTTTAATAATGGCTTGTATAATAATTTGGCAAAGAAAGATAGAAGTTTCTAATTGAAGGGAATTATGCATATAAGGAAACAGACAGTATGAAGTCCGTACAGTCGTCTCTTAAGTTTCATCCTTTGTGGATAACCCTGTAGATACTAGATATATGTCCTATCTTTTCTCTAGTTATTGATATTCAATTTCATAAAAGGTTAAGAATATCATGCTAAATCAAATTTAATTGAAAAACAAGTCATGTAATAAACAAAATATATTTCCGTCAGATATTTTTTGTGCATAGATCCGTTAGGAAATGAGAGGGGGGGGGGGTATAAAAACAAAAAAGTGTTTTAGTTTAAAAAGCCCCCCCCCCCCTCTATTAAAAAATGTATTTGTTATATTGGATGTTTATAAGGAAGGTCTTTAATAATTATAAAGTTCAAGTATTACAATCTGAACCTACATGTCATGATAATATAATTTATTTAGTTTATAACAATAATTTAGAACTATAATGTCTCCTACCCCAATGGCCAGGTTTGATTGTAAAACATCCAAGTTTTACACGAATCGGCTCCAGATAAACTTTAAACAGAATGGAAATTTCATTTTTCAAATCTTATCGATATATTAGAAACACAAACTTATTCATGAAAACTTTTTAGAGCGTCATATCCTTCAAATAATCCGTTGTTGTATGGTGGAAAATTATGGAATTTTTAACCATGAAAAGAGGAGAAAAAATTGTAAAAATTAATGAAAATTTAAAAAGGAAAAAACTTACATGAATGTTTAAATGGTGGAAAGGAAGAGGATATAAGTGAAGGATAAAGAATATTCGGTGGAAGACGACCTGAAAGAGATAAGTTTAAGGCCCATCTATCTATCTATGTTTATCTGTCTGTGTCCACTAAACGTCAAAACAGCTGAGCCGATCGGGGAACAATTTTGCACAGAAAAAAATGTCAACAATCAATGTTTTTGTAAATGCGGCAGTTCTGTTTTATTAGAAAAATCCGTCCAGATTTAACTAAAGATTACCTTTCTTTGTTTTAGGAAATAAATAAAAATTATTCTTTTATTATTGTTCGTAATTGTATTATCAATGTCTTTATTATTTTGTTAAATAAAATTTAGATATAGCAATATTATTTTGATTTTTCCTATTTTCAATTAACATGATAAAAGTTTAGATTTGATATTATTAATCTTTTTTAATAATTAATAAACCTGAATTGTTCCAAGTGTCTTCTGGCTCTATGCATTCAAGATAATCTAAAGAAAAAATTAGATTAGAGGGCAGAGCGCCGCGGCTAAGAGAGGCTAGGGGGCCGAGCGCCGCGACTAGAGCTGGCTTTCTCTCTGTCTTATAATTCATTGTGGCATTCGCGAGTAACACAGATTGGCCGCTACCCATATTTTAACCCACTTTAAACCTAATATTAAGTGATTCTTCAGTTTTTTAGTAACATGTATGATTCACAATGGTGCCCTTAAAAGCTTTGAAATGTATATTTATTTCAATATTTATTTCATATTAATTATTGTGGTTTATTTATAAAACTGACTTGCGGATTTCTGCTTACAGAAACATGGCATTTAATAGTCAAAATACTGTTAGAAAACCAAAATGTCTTCCACATTATTGATCAGATGTAGGTAGAGATGGGCTTGTTCGACTTTTTGAATTGAATTTGGGAAAAAAGGACTGAAAAGAAATGTAATTCTGCTCCTAATATAGATCAACAGTTAGATTATATCCTACCTCCTACCTTTCACCCCACCCCTCTCCTCTACTGGTATTGTTTATCCATGTATCGTATTATTTAGCTAATATTGGTTTAATTAATCAACTTAATACAAAATACAAAAAAGGAGGGAGGGAGGGAGGGAGGGGAAGGGTAGGGATAGGGAGGGTGAGAGATTTGAGAGGTGAGGAAGGACATCTTTTTATATTATATAAAATATCAATGTTGGGCAAAATGAAAACTTAAAAGACAATTATCATGAAATACAAGAAATATCTCTAGGAGTGATTATTTGACATTTTCACTTTCTCAAGAAGTATTTAATTCCAATTGAACTAATTCAAAATTGCAAGGATATATAAACAGACATGCAAAAAGATGCTCGAGACTCACAAAAACGTTTCCGACAAACTAACAAAAATGTCAGACAAATAAAAAAATACCTTAAAAAAATTCGGACGGAAACAAAAATGTTAACAATATTTTGAAACAATAGGATACAAGCACCCGTCTGAATGTCAGAGTGTTTGTTTGTCCATCTGTCTGTCTGTCTTTCTTGTCCATTATTACGTATGTCTGTTTGTTTATCACCTTGTCTAAGCTTATGTCCCGAATCTATTTCTAAACCCGAACTATTCTTCAGATTTACTAAATTAAACCAATTAACAATATTTGTTTATTCAAAACTAAAAGTAAAAGTAAAAATCTATATATTCTGTAGTAAATGAAGGAGCTGTAAAAGTATTATCAAGTGAGTGAGACCCTCCAATTATGATGATCTTCTATATAAAAAAAACTATTTGCTAATATATAAGAAAAAAAATTTGAATCAAGCGCGGGTAATCGGCGGGAGTAATTTTAAGTAACCTGGACAACGCTGGGTACTTCATTTAGTTCTACTGAATCCAATTCACAACGCTAATTAAAAGCTTTAAATTAAAAAAAAATAAAATTGATATCCATTGTTTATTAAACTGATTATTTCAATCCCTGGACCCTGGTTTCTTTACAAATGCGATTTTCACATTTCTTGCTTAAGAAACAATAAAGAAAATAACAGAATTAAACAATTTCAAACCGAAGTAATCTTTCATATTATTGATGAGATTATAAGGTTCAAAGGAATGAGTCTTTGCCACAAACTCTGATTATCTTATCACTATATCTTTGGAACCAAATGTTCTAGACCTTAGATATTTCTAACTATGAATTCTGTTAAATCAAATAATCAGAGTTTGAAATATCAAAGGTTTACAACATCGGGTTCTAAAAATATTGGGGTTTAAATATTTGATTTTGTTCCAAAGATTCAATTCCTTTACCGTTGTGAATCGGTTCCCTCTTTAAATGGAGGTTCGCTTGAAATTACATTGAAATTGAAATTCTCCGTTCGTTAATTTAACTGACCGTTAACGAACGGAGTTCTATGATTGTAAAAATCTTTTTTTTCGGCGAAAAGTCTTTTAGCTACTCAACCTGATAATGTGGTGATTTTTAAATAATTTACCTTGGATCTGTTTACTACGAAGAGAGACCTGAAGTCCATGAACCCCATCAAGTCCTAGAGCTCCTTGATCCCCGTGAACAACTTGAGGTCCCTGAATCCCTTGACCCCCTTCAAGTTCTCGGTCCCTAAGAAGCCCCTGTCCAAGATCTACAAGGGTACCCCTGCCCCTTCCCTCCCCCTCCTCTATTCCTGATATATAACCACCCCCTCCTCCCTCTCCTCCTATCCGCTCCCCCACTCCTCCTTCGGCTTCTTTTCCTAAACCTTTCCCCTAAAATGAATAAATCGGTCAAAAAAAAGAGAAGAAAAAAGTTAAATTTCTGAGATTGAAAACTTAAAATAATTGTCATGAGCTGATATTAAGTGACCATCACTAAAAGGGTTATAAAACTGATTCCCAACGCGTGGCATATACCTCTATCCGAGTAAAAAATAAGAAGATATCCTATTTTAAGAGATTTTTTTCTTCAATTTTCTTCCTTATCTCTGCTGCATTTATCTGAAGTGCTTTTTTAAATAAGCCTAGCATTCTAAAGTATGAACTTTCAGCTGAAGAAAAAAAGCTTTTTTAAACCGTTCTGTCGGAAGAAAGGATTGAAGGGTACACCGTACAGTTAGGAACAGTGCATACAACTTTTTGATATGAGGGTCAATTAAAATTACGTCTGCAGTCCTTTTAAGAGATGATAGGCACTTTCCGAAAGGCATTTTCCTAAATGGCAACTTCCCAAATGTGCAATTTCCCAAGTTTTTTTTTCTAGCCGAAGCGCTCAGCCCCCCATTGCATCCTGTGACACTCAGAAGGTCTCACCTAACCTTAGATGTACATTCGGGAAATTGCCGCTTGGGAAAGTGCATATTTGGGAAGTTTCCACTTAAAAAATTGTCACTTAGGAAGTTTCACTGGGAAAAGGCCTTTTAAGAGACCCGAAAAATGATAGAAAAGATACATTAAATTTAATTAAAAACTAAAAAGGATGAATTTATGGGTGAACGGGATGAATAAAAGGATGCATGAATATCTTTATGAAACTTAAGATTAGGGGGATGGATGAACGGGATGAATAAATGAATGAATACCTGTATAAAAGGGTCCAACTGAAGATTATATTGATGTTGAGCTGGAAACCCATGCTGGAAATATATCTGACGAAGATCCTGCTCAAACTTAAATTTTAGAAGTTAAATTCGAACCACAATATTCCCCAGAATTTACCGGCTAAAAGATTACTATGTAATCTTGAATCCGTATTCCAGATCCTTGCCCAGTAATGTAGTTTTATAACAAAAGGAAGGAAGAGAAGGATGGAAGGAAGTTGGGAGAAAAAGGAAGAAATCTCAACTCCGGTTCTTGGTTAATCATCCAACTACCTACCTCCGGTTGTACTGGAGAGCTGAACCCCGCCATCAGTGAATATTTAGATCCGGAGAAACCTGGTTCCGTTCTCTCAACCCTGAGCAGAACCTATCTGTTCCGACCGGAGAGAAGGAACTGCCAAACCACAGAACCTCCGGGGTTTAACCTCCGGAGCCGTGGGTTCAGAGTCAGGAACCGGATACAATTCATCCTGCTCCTCCTTCATCCTAGACCTAGATCCATCCTTTATCCTAGACCTAGATCCATCCTTTATCCTAGACCTAGATCCATCCTTTATCCTAGACCTATATTCATCCTTTATCCTAGACCTAGATCCATCCTTCATCCTAGACCTTGATCCATCCTTCATCCTAGACCTAGATCCATCCTTCATCCTAGACCTAGATCCATCCTTCATCTTAGACCTAGATCCATTCCTCATCCTAGACCTAGATCCATCCTTTATCTTAGACCTAGATCCATTCCTCATCCAAAAACTAAATCCATTCCTCATCTTAGACCTAGATCCATCCTTCCTCCTAGACCTAGATCCATCCTTTATCTTAGACCTAGATCCATCCTTCATCCTAGACCTAGATCCATCCTTTATCCTAGACCCAGATCCATTCCTCATCCTATACCTAGATCCATTCCTCATCCTAGACCTAGATCCATTCCTCATCCTAGACCTAGATCCATTCCTCATCCTAGACCTAGATCCATTCCTCACCACCTAGATCCATTCCTCATCCTAGACCTAGATCCATTCCTCACCCTAGACCTAGATCCATTCCTCATCCTAGACCTAGATCCATTCCTTACCCTAGACCTAGATCCATCCTTTATCCTAGACCTAGATCCATTCCTCATCCTAGACCTAGATCCATCCTTCATCCTAGACCTAGATCCATCCTTTATCTTAGACCTAGATCCATTCCTCATCCTAGACCTAGATCCATTCCTCATCCTAGACCTAGATCCATTCCTCATCCTAGACCTAGATCTGTGTCTTCGACCAAAGGAATTGAGTCTTTGCCACAAACTCTAATTTTCTAATCCCAATATCTGTGCAGTGTGCAACCTAATAGTGTAGACCTTTTATATTTCAAACTTAGATTCTTTGATCCAACAGAATTCATAGTTTGAAATATCTAAGGTTTACGACGTTGGATTGTGAAGAAATAGGGATTAGAAAATCAAAGTTTGTGGCAAAGACTCAATTCCTTTTATTCATTTTACTCTTCTTTGGTTTTGATTCTTTATGTTCTCTTTCTCTTATTTTTTACTCTTTAATCTATTTTACAATATTGATCTTTCTTTCTCATCCCGCTTTTAGATAAATGTTCACCCTCCCCCTCCCCTCCCTCTCCTTCCCTCCTAATTCCTAGTTCTATAAACCATGAGTTCTCCAATGAAATGTTAAAAATATCAACTGGTCCAGACAGATCAAACAAATATCTAGTTTCTTAATATTCAGATCTTATTATTTCATCTTTAATCCCCCCCATGCCAACCCCTCCCTTTCCTTAAATATGTTTTTTTCTTCTATTTTGTATTATTTAAATGATAATCTTTAAAGGTTTAACATGGTAAATTCCATAATTTTTAGATGATAAACTTAATAGGATAGATGAAAAACTCCTGGTTCAGATGATAAACTCTACGGTTCAGATGATAAACTTCATGTTTTAGTTAATAATTTTCATGATAAAGATGATAAACTTAATGGGATAGATGATAAACTCTACGGTTCAGATAATAAACTTCATGGTTTAGATAATAATTTTCATGATAAAGACGATAAACTTAATGGGATAAACACCATTGTTTAGATAATAAACTCCATGGTTCAGGTGATAAACTTCATGGTTTAGATGATAAACCTTATGCTTTAGATGATAAACTCAATGGTTTATATGATAAATTTCAAAGTTTCGACAAACTCCATAGTTTAGATGATAAACTCCATAGTTTTGATTTTAAACTCCATAGTTTCGAGGATAACGTGCCTCCATAGTTTATCTGATAAACTCCATAGTTTAAATGATAAACTCCATAGCTTGGATGATAGCTCCACATGGTTTAGATGATTGCCTCCATAGTTTATATGATAAACTCCATAGTTTAGATGATAAATTCCATTGTTTTGATTATAAAATCCAAAGTTTTGAGGATAACGTGTGTCCATAGTTTATATGACAAACTCCATGTTTTGATTATAAACTCCATGTTTTAGATGAAAAACTTTATGGTTGTCCCTTTGTGGCATTTAGAGCCTGAGTAATAGCTAGATTGATAAGCTACGCTTGTGTCTCTGTATGGCATTTACTACTCTTCATAACTTGGATGACAGCTCCATGGTTTAGAAGATTAACTCCGCAGTTTATGTAATGAACTCCATAGTTTATATAATAAACTCCATAGTTTATGTGATAAACTCCATAGTTTATATGATAAACTCCATAGTTTATATGATAAACTCCATAGTTTATATGATAAACTCCATAGTTTATATGATAAACTCCATAGTTTAAATGATAAACTCCATAGTTTATATAATAAACTCCATAGTTTATGTGATAAACTCCATAGTTTATATGATAAACTCCATAGTACATATGATAAACTCCATAGTTCATATGATAAACTCCATAGTTTATATAATAAACTCCATAGTTTATATAATAAACTCCATAGTTTATATGATAAACTCCATAGTTCATATGATAAACTCCATGTATGTTTACATGATAATCTCCATAGTTAAGGAAAATTCGGCAATCTTTATCATTTCCAAAGAAACGATGAGGAATTTCAGTTTTCATTTGAAGAGGTGTGGCCACTGTTTTGGCCTCCATGGTTCCGACCAATGGTCTGACAAGTGGAGGATCTCCGACCAACCAGAGCGAAGTGCAACTTCGGAGTTTAACCAATCAGAAAACCAAAAGAACAAGGTCAAAAAGATTCTAAAACTGAGAACAAAACTAGAAACTGAAATCGATCTTAATTCTATTAGCTAATAGAATTTAAAACTTAAATTTCTTGAACTCCGGGAAAAATCACAAGCATTGATGTCCTTTACAGTGTTGGGTTCTTTATTTTATCAAACTTTACTGTTCTGGCTTCTTTACCCAATCAAAATTTACAATGCTGGGTTCTTTATCCCATCAAACTTTACTGTTTTGGGTTCTTTATCCCATCAAACTTTACATTATTGGGTTCTTTATCCTATTAAACTTTACAGTGTTGGGTTCTTTATCCTATTAAACTTTACAGTGTTGGGTTCTTTATCCCATTAAAATTTACAGTGTTGGGTTCTTTATCCTATTAAACTTTACAGTGTTGGGTTCTTTATCCTATTAAACTTTACAGTGTAGGGTTCTTTATCCTATTAAACTTAACAGTGTTGGGTTCTTTATCCTATTAAACTTTACAGTGTTGGGTTCTTTATCCTATTAAACTTTACAGTGTTGTGTTCTTTATCCCATTAAACTTTACAGTGTTGGGTTCTTTATCCTATTAAACTTTACAGTGTTGTGTTCTTTATCCTATTAAACTTTACAGTGTTGGTTCTTTATCCCATTAAACTTTACAGTTTTTTTTATATTATAGTTATATAAGTTTCAGGCTAACTATTTTCTCTGTTGGATACATATTTCTGATTGGTGGTGGGGCTATTCAGGTTAATTGGTAGATATATATTGCTCAAGAAGGGAGACAACGGTCACATAGTAAATACCGAAAAACTCCAGCTCTGATGTAGTTCAGTGTATCTGTTTCGTTTTATCAATTTCTTTGATACATGTTTAAAAAAATAAACAAGCACTGCAGATGATTGATTGTTTCAGAAGTTTTCTACAATTGGATTTGTTTAGTCTAAAACCAGAAACCGTCTTTTAGTCCACAGTGATAAGGTTGACTACTTTGATTCATTCAATATTTCTTTTTAATAACTCAATATTCGAAAAATATTGATCTGTTAAGATCATTGGTTTCAGTCTTATGAAATGAATAAATGTGTCAATTTTAGTGCTGTTAACTCCTAAAACATCAATACAGTTAATAGTAGACCTGATATCTTAAAGATTTTTCATTTCAGAGGGAAGAAATGGAAATAATTTGAAAATTCTAAAATAAACCAAAAAATACCACTTACAGGTGGGGTTTTTATGCCAACCATGCTTTCATTAGGCTTTACCTGGTTAATGAGCTACAGGGTGTCCCAAAAAACATGGGATTTCAGTGACGAATTCGATATCGTCTTTTCAAATAATTCTTTGATTTAGGGATACCTACTGAGAAAGCTGTAATCTGTAAGAGTTTCGTCTGCTATGTTTACATTTTGTTTGTTTATGTTTTGACTGCATACGGTTAGACTTAGTAAAACAAGAAAATTGCAGTATACAAACAGAGTAAACTTGTCCGTCTTCACTGTTCATCTTGCGGAGACATTATAGCACATCTTTACACATCTTTTACCCTTTTCATAAAATAAAATCTAGAAGACATAATAACATTATGGGTTTGAAATTAGGTATTACAATGCTAATTCATAACAAAGACGATATCGAATTCGTCACTGAATTCCCATGTTTTTTGGGACACCCTGTAGATCTAAAATATCTTAAACCCCTCATAAAATGTCGTCATCCAACTAAGAGTTTGGCCCACCTTAGTATTTATTCACTTTGCATAAAAATATCGTATTGATTTTAAGGTATTGCACAGAATGAGTCTTGACCTTTTACATTTCAGCCTCTTAAGAGAATACTGCAGTAACTAGAATTCAAATACCTTAATGTGCTTTAATTTTTATCGCTCGAGGTTTAAAACTCAAGAAATTTTTTTATGGTTATTTTCTTCAGATTTAATAATTCTACCTAGATAAATTTTTCAAAAGATAGGAATTAAGCAAAAAAGCTCAAAACATTTTGGATGTTCTATTAATCTCTTGGAACCCCTTGAGTTAAACTCCTTTCTAAATTACACAACAAAGTTTAAAAGGAATTTGATCAAAATGGACTCGACTAGGACTTCTAAAAATAGTCTACTTTCAGATCTGTAAAACCTCGGGTAGCTTTGTTTTTAAATCCTTCTTCATAGCTGAGGTAAATTGTGGATGGTAGATAAATGACGTGTAAAATTATTCGCTCTCAAGCAAAAGATTAACTTATTCGATACTTCAGTAGTTCTCCATCTTCCAAATAGGAATGTTGAGAATTTCTTCATATGTTGATCCCTTTAATCCAGACACAAAGGAGATTGCTCTCAATTGAACTATTTCTAAAACATCAAAATCTGCTTTAGTCTATGGATTCCAGACAGTTAAGATTTTCTTAAAATTAATTTTTCCCCTTCGGAAACATTTTTTTAGGGTGGTGTACATTAATGGTAGGGTAAAACGTGTCAAATGAAGGGGGGACAAAACAGCATTTATACGTCCAATTTTTATCCTAATCTCCCATTAAAAACTCTCGACAATAAACATTACATATATTACACTTGCTCTCCTGGCTCATCTTCAAATGAATAAGAACATGGTTCAGATATAGTTCGCTTTAATGAGAACAGTTATAGAAAGTATACGTTACAATTAATTAATTAATACTTGTGTGAATTCATCGATATATTATTATGAAAACAAATCACCAGTTTTGGTTGTCAGAGTCTTCATAGATAAATTTTACAATTTCAGCCTTTCTTAGTGAGTCACGGCGATACCATTACATTTAGTCACTGGTGGCAGCCACCCGGCTGGTCGACCTGAAGATTCGGCCGCCGGGCAGCTCTGAGATCAACTCAGCCAACAACCTATTGGTCTAGAGATCAAGTTTGCATCTTAAAAACTGATCGTTGAACGATCAAATTCGTTTTCATCTAAGATGAAAAACGGTAACGCTCAATATCACAGCAGAACAACCTTATATCCATCCACACCCGAATATCTGAAGAGAGCTGATATCCAGTGAGGTTGAGGATATCCAACAGAAGTAGGTATATCCATAATAATCGGATCAGCTCACGTCGGTATCCGGGGTGAAATTTAGCTTTGAGCTTTAACCGGACATCATATCTGAGCCAGAACCCAGCAAAAGTACTTATAGAGCCAAAGCTAAGTAAACTCGAGTCAGATCTGAGCCGGCTGCTGAGCTTAATCTAGAGCTAGAGTGTGGTTTTCAGCATCTCGGCCTTAAACTTGACAAATGTCCTATACGGTGTTCTATTAGGATCTGAGATTGTAACACGATGCGTTTTATTTGAGGCGAGCCCCACTCCTCGACCCATCATCCACTCGTTGTGCGTGGTCTGAGCCGCCTCACTCACATGAACACCGGACCAGGAGGAGTGCCAAGAATTAAACTTTTTGTACTTCCGTCGACAAACATCAGGATGAGTCTGAAAAATTAAAAAAAAATTAAATACAAACATCAAATAAACATTAATTAACCAAGCATTAATAGAAAAAATGTTTTTTTTGGGAAATAAAAAATCGAAAAAAATTATTTCTTTTCATTTGAAAAAGAAAATAGTTCGACCATTGAACTTGTATTGCCCGAAATTAAGTTAAAATTGCGCTGAGAAACCCGATTTTTTTGGACCATTTTAACTAATTATTCAGTAAAGTTATTAAAAACTATCGTCAACACATATTAAAATGGGTATCAAAAGATTCGAGGTGGAAATTAAGTCAGCGTAAAAACATTTTTTAAGATTTAGAAAGAAAACGATTTAGGCGAGAAATAGACAAAAAGTATTTTAAGCAAGAAAACGAAACAGAAAAATTCAATTTTCCTTTATAATATTTCTCAAACGCATTTGCCACTTCCTAAATACGACTTCTAAAATTGTCTTAAACACAGAACATGGTCTTTCAAATCTTGAACTTAATATTTTAAAAAATACGAACTGAAGTGTCCGGCGCTGCCATTTTTTAAATCGAATTTTGAAAAAAAAGATTTTGAATTCAAAGAAAAAAATTCAATTTTTCTGACCTATGTTACCCATGGGGTTCTCCCTCAAACAATTCAGCCCATTCGATCCAGATAAAATAGTATAAAAGTTGGCCAAGTATTCAGCCCATTCGATCCAGATAAAATAGTATAAAAGTTGGCCAAGTATTCAGCCCATTCGATCCAGATAAAATAGTATAAAAGTTGGCCAAGTATTCAGCCCATTCAATCCAGATAAAATAGTATAAAAGTTGGCCAAGTATTCAGCCCATTCAATCCAGATAAAATAGTATAAAAGTTGGCCAAGTATTCAGCCCATTCAATCCAGATAAAATAGTATAAAAGTTGGGCAAGTATTAAGAAACCTTTGTATACCTGTTTAGCTCTATTAAGACTGTGTCTCTTGTATATATAATTCTCAGAGTTCACCACCCAGAGAATCTTAAGGTTATCGTGGGACAAGGAGCAGGACGAGTTCTCCTCCCAGAGAATAGTCTCGTCCTCTAGTCCTAGTCTGGATACACGACTACCAGGAACTGCAGGAACTACAGGACTAAAAATAATTAATAGCATTAGTTTTCAACACGTAATCTGACAATTATCATAAATATAAAAATGGTTATTTTACTACATTTTTTTGTCAATAAACTTAAAATTCAGTGAAAGTTGTGAAGAGGTGGGGTTGGACAAATTTTTTTTTGATTTTTTAACTATCATTCCGAAATCCGTCAACAAGAGATTATAATGTTCTCCACTGGATCCGCAACATTTTATCTCCGTGGAAACGGATCCGCTAAAAATACGAGAATCCACGAATCTGGATCCAAGGGGAAAAAATCGACCAAAAATTGTAATAAAAAACATGTTGCTCTAAAAGCCCAAGTCTAAAATAGCATACAATTAAGTTTTTAAAACATTCTTCCTATAGTTACTTTAGTGAATTCTCAACATAGAATTAGAAAAGAACCAGCCAACTCAAGGAACTGTCGTCGCAAAATGATACCCTTTGGAGCCATTATCTGATCAATGATGTAGATATCATAGTTTTCTTTTAAGCTTAAAGTGTTTAATTCTGGCAACATCCTCCATTATTTACGCAAATTTACGCAGGTCACTTTTAAAGAAATATTAAATTCAAAATAATTATTAAAACTAAATAAAGGATATCTGATTCACTTCTGATCATGATCATTCAAAGCTTAACAGGGAATCTGACATGCTTCTTTTGGAATTGGTCTCAATCCATTTTAAAATTTAAATCCTCTTACACCTAACTAACTAAAACTCTTTAACTTTCCATTTAAAACGTGTTTCTACCTTTCTTCCGTAGTGTCCTTCTCAGGTCGCGGAACTATCTTGTGTCGAGTATTCTTCCGGTATCGTCGCACACTGCGACACAGAAAAACCGGTTTCTTCGACAAATGGTTGCGGGCCTCGTCGCTGATCGACATGCCAAGGAATCGGTCGAGGTAACTGTCGGGGTTCTCTGTCTCTCCTTCCTCATCGTTGTCACTTCCGCCCCGGCTGTCGCTGTCAGTGTCAAGGAGTTCTAATGTCATCCGTCCACTCTCACGGTACTAAACAAAATAATCTATATAATAAAGCTCTTCGCTCATAAACATATATGTTAGTTATAGCTCGCCAAACGTCTTGACCAAATTAGCTAACATTGTTTGAGGAAAATAATGTTTACCCTTGGGTAACATAGGCTAGAAATTCTTTTTTCTTTCAAAATTTGATTTTTAAAAATTTGTCGCAAAATTTCCACTGGCAACGCCGGACACACCGCTATTTATGTAAATAAAAATAACAAAATTTTTAAATATCTTTTCAAATAATTTTATAAATTTGTGTCATAAAACATACCATTAGTTTAAGAAATATTTAAATTCTATGACATTCTATTAATTATGTATATCCTAATAGTGCTGGGGATCCGGATCCGTTGGATCCGCAACTTTTATTCTTCCTGGATCGGGTAAAATATACAGATTCACGAATCAGTATTTACAGGTAAAAATATCAACGAAAAACTGTAAAAAAAACTTAATGCTTTAAGCATAAAAATATACGAAAAAAGGCTTAATAAATTTTAATTTCATTTTTTTGTCATAAAATTAGCAAGTCTGTTCATGAACTGGACCCTGATCCAGTATTCCAAGAATCCTATGAAACCAAAATGAAGAAAATGACATAGAAATGTTAATCAAGTCTTAAAACATATGACTTTTAACTTTCCCAGGTCTTTATATTACTAATCTAATAAAAAGTCATAAAGCTTACCATGATTATTTTGAAGCAGTTCTCATCCGTTAATAGCTTCTCCGCTTTCTTCTGATAAAGAAGTTCATTAAAATATCTATCCTGAGCTAAACTAACCGGTCCACCCGTCCCTCCATTCTTTTTCTCCTCAGCATACAGGTCCCAGCAGTCCTGACAAGTATCGTCCGAGACGAGTTGCTGCAGCTGACGCACTGCGTTTGCGATAACTTTATCAAGGGTAAATGCGGTAAACGCATGGATTCCGAACATTTCTCGCAATGTATCCTCGTATGCGATGTTATCCATGTTTCCGTCAAGGACACTTTTGACCATGTCGAGGAATGTAGGATAATAATCGGTCGAGGATAATCCGTTCTTTGGTTTAAGTCGGAGTGCGGCGGCGGTGCTCTCCTTCCGATCTAGGTTGGAATCGCCATCTTCGGCGGCAATGATTACCGCCTGGTCGTAGATTTTAGCTAATCGTTCGGTTAGGATGTAGTGAAGGCGGAGGAAGACATACCAGTTGTTGTTGGTCATTAGAAGAGTGTACTCGTCGTCCATTGACGCTCCTTTGATGTTAGGAGGAACCTCATGTTGCTTCATCTCCTCTTGTACTTCCTCCTCCTTGATCTCTATCTCCTTTACCTTCCCTCGCTCCTTCTTCTCCTTCTTCTTCTCTTTCTCCTCCTCATCTTCCTCTTCTTCTTCATCCTCCTCTTCTTCCTCATCCTCTTCATCACTCATCTCCATCCTGGAGTGGTAGAAAATATCTGGAAGGGTTTGTCGGAGTAAAACTTTAATCTTCTGTTTATCCTCCTTAGGTATCCCGGTCTGCCGTTTCACGTGATGAATCAACAACTGAGTTGCATCGTCCAACATTGATTTATCCGAATACGATAATGTGATGTGTGGTCCACCTACCACCTGACCGCTCTGCTCCTCTTGCTCATGCGCCTCGTCGTACAAGGTCTCGATCTCGTTCAGCAATGATTTGGATCGAATAGTTCTTATATCATTCTGCTTAAAGATAATTCCCTGGTGGTCCAAGGATCGTAAGTAATTTCTCTCGTTCTGCTCGCGCCAGATTTTATTGAATTGTTTCTGTACTTCCCTCCATTCTTGATCCTTTGCTTTCAGTCGTCGAATTACCAGTGGGACGGCAACAACAGGGTTCCGTTTTAATCCGTCGATAATATCCGCGGATTTGTCTCCGTAAATCCGTCTAATTGCGCGTTGATGAATTGTTGGACTTGTTCCCCCTAAACAGTCATCTAATCTGTATCTCGCTGCCTCCTCCGGTGGCATTCGAGACATTTTCTTCTGAACACACTCGAGCACTTTTATCGTGTCACGGTTCGTTTCTAACACAACATCGAACTCGAAGCGCTCGTCCTCAGTCCTATAGATGTTTTCTTCGAACTGGGTTTTTCTGCTGGAGACGAATTGGGAGTCCTCGGACCAGGTTGGGAAGGAAACCCATGTGTCGTTGAGGACTTCCTTGCATAAGGTGTTCCCTTGTCCCCGTCCAGTGCACTTTGGCAACAAGAAGTTCTTCGGGAGCGCGCAGTAGGATGCACCCAACCGTTTACACGAGGCATAATCTGAAAATAAGGAAATGGTAAGATTATGTTTTTAAAAGATTAAATTTAAAATCATTAACTAGATTTAAAAATTCAATTTTCATATGCTAAACAATGTGACCATAAAAAGGTGTAACAAAACAAGAAAAACGTGTATTGGACTGAGTCTAAAATTGGAAATTAGTTAAATGAAAATCTGATATAACTATGACAAATATAGACCAGCAAAATGTTCTGTTTCGTGGACTTCTTTAACGTGCGTAGTTTCTTCACACAAGATAGGGAATTAAGAATTGAGTGAGTTCCTACAGATAAGTTTGTATCTATCTATCTACAGGTTCAGGTCCGTTCCAAACTGTCACTCAGCTGATATTGTTTTGGATTGAAAACTGGCGGGATATTCTTAAATATAGATAGATAGATACACTCCTCCCCCCTTCCGCCCGCCCCCTTCGAACCCTGGATATAGAGGCTCAGTCGGGTTGGGACAATCAGGACGGGTTGGGTCAAGGGACGAGGTAACACAGTGACTCAGGACTCCTGAACCTACTTGTCGGTACGGAACTAGTCTTCAGCTTTCTCCGGGAAACACAAACTTATAAACAGAAACGTTTCTATGCTTGTATCCGTCAAGGGGGAGTGTGCCGAAATGTTTTCATTTTATTAAACCATCTTGGAGGGGGGGGAGGGGGGGGGGGTAGAATTTACAATCAATCGTTTGAGCGATGAAAAATTTTATTTATTTGCTTATACCTATTTCCATGGCAGCATCTCCAGTCATTCGCTCATGCCTAGGCTGGGCCAGAGGAGGAGTAGGGAGTTCAGAAGCTCCAACCCCTCCCTCCTTAGCTCCTGCAACTCCGGTCCCGTCTTTGAACCCTCCTGCATCCTTGAAACCGACAAAATCCTTGAACCAGCGGAGAAGATCAGGATTCTAGAAAAATATATTTTTAAACATTTTAAATTTATAGTTTCATCACAAAAAAGCCTTTACAATTCTTAGGTTCTTAGATTTTTAAACTAATAATTAATGTTTTATATTATTTACAATTTTCAAAATCACAATTAAAATAAAATTATGATCAAATGATGTATTGAACATATTACTGGCATATTTAAACTGAGTTAAAGCCTTGAATTAAAAAGTTTTAAATGTTTGATTTTATCTTGCAACAAAGTTTCACATTTATTGAAAATATATTTCGGTCTGGGTTGACCCTCGTCAGTTCTTGTTTCTTCACAAAGATTATTTCTTTAATTGTTGAAGATAAGGACACAATGAATAAAAAAGTAATTTGTATTTGCAGGACGGTAAAAAAAGCCTGAGGACAATAATATAGAATGATTATTGATAAATAACATGATAAAATTAAAAAATGTAATGCTAAATTATTTGCAAGTTGAGATGAAAACTGTCATTCTTAAAAACTTTTTAGAAGCACCGACTTTTATTAAAAATTCTCAATGCGGTAAATAAAAAACAAATCTTAGGTTTTATTTAGGGGGTGGGGACTGGGGAGGATTAAATTTTGCAGTGACTTACTTTTCAGAATATTACAAAATAAAATCCAGACGTATGATTTAGTTGCTTACCTTGTTTAAAAATGGTGTAGCAAGGGAAACTAGTTCTGTTCTTGTTACCACCTCCTGGTTGAACAAGACCAGACACCGCAGGAAATTTTCATAAACTTCTCCGCTCTTCAACGCCTTCCTCACCTTGTCAAAGAACGCGAACTCGGTGAGGGTTCCGTACTTCCCGGCTTCGGCGAGGCTTACGTCTTTAAGAACACCCAGTCGAGGCTTTTTAGTCGGCGGTTGCATTCGCCCCGGCTGCATGGGACGCTTCAAAGGTTCTACCGGGCGTTCAGCCGCGGGTTTCGGCGGTATTAACGTGGGTTTAGGTGCACTACGTTTAGTGGCAGAAGAGTGGTCATTTGCAAGGCCCTTGCTCGAGACCATGATGGCCTCGGTAGAGTTGTCGTTGGTGGCCTCCGGGAGAAACTGTCCGAACTCCGCTAGAAGATCTTCTTGGTTCTGGAACAGTCGGGAAACCTGGGCGTATACCTTAAAAAAAAACAATTTAAAACAAAAAATTTAAATTTTACTTTTAACATTTTTTATATATATTGAGTTGTTTGATTGAGCCTTTTATAAATTCTGTTGAAGAAGAAGTATTTATTTCAATTACAGTACTTTCATAACATATTTTTGTATATTGTGCGAGTTAAATGTTAAACATCAACTTTGTAATTTTTGATACTTTCTTGTATTATTCGAATCATCACATTATGAAGCGTCGAGAATTCCATTATACAATTTGGTACCATTACAAACGTCGGACAGGTACATTTGTAAAAAAATTTCGGACTATGGCCGAGTTTGAAAAAAAATACCATTGCTATTCTTGTGATAAAAATCGAAGAAAAAAGCTCCAAACCCTTTGAGGGTAGCACAATATAAAAAACAAACCAAAAAAGGGGGCGAGTTTGTGTCACAAACTCTGATGTTTAAATGCAGGGAATAAGTATAAAGGGAAGGGAAATGGCGCTGGTCTGGCATGTGAAACCCAGTCCTATTGCTTTGCAGACGAGTTCGTGTCTCACACGCACACTCTTTTGGTACAAACACACAACATGACTCCAGTCAAGGAAATTGCAGAACAATGTCGTCAATATAATTAAGCTTGAATAACGAGTAGTATATTGTAAACTTTAATCAAGTTATATTCTTTGCATGAAAATTTGGCTTACAGTGTTGACTTAAATATATAAATGATATATTACATTAAACTTATTTTTATGTAAACAATTAACAATAAAAAAATGTACTCTCCTAGCCTGTACAAATAACGAGATTATGTACTGTATAAACCTACAGTACATGCCTTTGGTTCGTTATTACTTACACACACTCTTTTGGTACAGACACACATATAAGACGTTTCCGCCCCCTGTTTTAATGCCAATATCTTTGCAACCCTTGATATTTCAACGTAAGAAAATCTGGAAGATTAAACAGTTGAAGTTTGAAAGTAGCAAAGGTTAATACCATCAGGTTGCAAAGATATATGGATGAATATATCTGAGTTAGTGGCAAGAACTCAGTTCCTTATGGGGTAGATTTTAATTAGACCGTTCAATAAAAGGAAATAACCTTTTCATAAAAAAAATCTTATAATTCAAATCAAGTTTGTTTCCTTTGTCCGACGTTTATACCAGTCTGATGTTTGTACCAGTCCGACGTTTGTACCAGTCCGACGTTTGTACCAGTCCGAAGTTTGTAAGTCTTAGTACGACGATTGTACTGTTACCTACAATTTCAAGCCAGACAAAAAATTACAACCTCATGCAATTGTCTAGTTACGAGAGGAATAAGTTGCAACTTATTTTTTATAACGTTACTAGCTCTGAAATTCTTGTATTTAAAAAAAAATCCATTCTATCAAAACTTGCAATTTACACTGTTAAAAAATAATTATGTAATAAATGGCAACGAACTCTTGATTTTTTTCCACAAATTTACTCCAAATATCTCACATATTTACTCTAAATAACTCGCATATTTACCATACATTACTCACATATTTACCACAAATTATTTACATTTTTACCATAAACTACATATCCAACAAATCTGGACATATTTAGATTTCCCGTTAAACAAAGAACTTGTAATTTACACTGGCCAATTAGTTTGGCAACCTCATATTATAAATTGCTGGCATTTTTCTATTTAAATATCGAGAATTTTCTTTTCATTTTTACCTCAGACTCAGTGAGTAGTGATTTTGGCGCTCCTCCCTCCTTGATCGCTCTCTGGTCCTTCTGATATGTGTGAAGAATCTCCAGAAATTGTTTGTATACATCAGGCTGACCTTGGAACCGGTTTTTAATCTTGTTTACATAGTTGATGGCATGATTAAACTCAACAGGTTGTTGGTTAGCCCCCGAGTGCGGGGGTTGGGGCTGGGTGGGCAGCTGGGGTAGGGAAACAGGGATGCTCGGCACTGCAGGGTTAAGAGTTATATGCGGAGGATTAGGAAGAGGTTGAGATAAACTAACGACAGCGGGTGGGCAGGCGTATACAGAGGCGGGTAGAATCTCGGTTCTCGGCGGGGGATGATTCGGCGTAACATCGTTCAGTGTTTTGACCTGGTACTTAGTTGGCTGGTGGGCGGTGAGGGGGCGTTGTGGAAGCTGTGCGGCGGTTGTGAGGGCGGGGCCCATCATACCCTGGGCCCCCATCATGTGGATCCCGTGGGGTGTGTGCACAATCGTCTGAAACATTGACTGGGACGAGATTAAACCTGTCAGATTAAAAGTTACCTAGGACTAGTCATGGGACATGGCTTGGTTTGTTTCAAAATACTTTTCAGGTTTTTTCTACTTTTAATGTCAAAATTGTTTATTCTAAACATTTGCCTTTCTTTAGCTGTGTCAAATTTAGAACCTGTGAGAAAATATATGCAAAAGATCTTTTTCTTACTTCAATTTTCTCTACAATTTTCTCAAATTTCTACAGAATAAAGTTTAGAAATGAAAAAGTCCAAAACCCTTAAACAATAAAAAAATAACCAAGCTATTTCCCGTCACCACATGGGACAACTAAATCTTAAAAACTTGTCCACACCATAAACCTTTTCCATTCATAAGATATTCATTTCAATTCTAAATCTACATCTAATTATTAACTGCAGCAAAACGTCAACGTCAACGTCAACGTCAACGTCAACGTCAACGTCAACGTCAACGTCAACGTCAACGTCAACGTCAACGTCAACGTCAACGTCAACATTTTTAATTAAGACAAAAATCACATAGTTTTGATAAGTTCTAACTTTTAACCAATAAAAATCTACTTTATCAAGAAATAAAAACAACCCTCCTTAATCTAACTCGTCCTACTTCAGATATTAATTGACTTTACTATTTCACTTACAATTCAATGCAACTACACAATGAAGTGCACAAAAAAGAGTAGACTACTTTAAATAAAAATTAAAATAATCTTCGACTGTATTCTATGTGCCCATCCATAAACAAAAATAACATGCCCGATTAAAATCGATGTTTCGCTGAAGTGATCTACGGATTTATGTAGCGGAGACAAGGAAGGAAATTGATAGAATATGACTAAATGTTACCCAAGTAGGTTTAAAGGGTAACATCGTGAATCATGAACCTCAAAGAGGATTATTCTAAATTACGTCTACAGTCCCTTTAACTAAGCTACTACTCATCCATCTAGCCCCCCTGGTACCTGATGTATATGTGCATGTCCTGGTAAACTAGGATGCTGAGCTTCATTAGTCTGAACCTCTATCTTGTATCCAGGAGGGAGGAAGGTATTGAACCCGACAATTAGTTCAGGGTGTCCTTTAAACAGCATGGAAACCCGAGAGATGACTCCAGGTGTATCTATCGACTGGGATTTGAATTCCTGTCGAAAATAAAGTATTAAAATACTGAAAATTTATGAATTTGCAAGCTTGTAGATTTTAAACATTATGTCTCAGCTGAAAATTCAAGTTTCGAGAACAAAGGAAATGTTGTTGTATGTCATCTGTTTAACTCTTACATTAATTCATTTTGTAATCTTAACCCTTAATTGATCAAAATATTTGTACGTCAACTTTCAACTACATAAATACTAAAAATTTGGTCTGTCTGTCTGTCTGTTTGTCTGTTAGTTTGTTTGTTTGTTTGTATCCAATAAACGTCAAAACGGCTGAACCGATCGGATCGGACATCTAGGGACCCCAGGGAAGGTTTATGAAAAATCAAAATTTCAAATATTTGTCTCCATCAAAATTCGATCGTCATTAAATTTCTAAAAATTTTGAAAATCCGCGAAATTTGTTGTGAAAATCCGCGAATTATTTTTGTTTTGTTTTACGATGTACACAAAGAGAACATGTTCACAAAGGCTAGAAAGAGGCTAGAAAGAAGGGCGCGAAGCGCCTTGAATTTCTAGTAAATACTATACAACTTTAATAAGAATATTAATGATAATTTTTTTTCTTCAATATAAAATAAATAAAATCCACAATCATTAATGCTTTCATACCGTATGGTACAGCAAACAGCGCTTAGAAAAATATTACCAATTTCAACGAGTTTTGCAAAAATAGCTCCCTAAAAAAGAAACACGTTCCATACATATTGCAAGAAATATCGATTACATTTAATCCGGCCATTTTCATTAACTTTTTTAAAGATCTATTATTGTAAAAACTCGAATAGGGTTTGTATGGTGTATGAATAATATTAATAAAAAAATCAGATTATTTTAATTAGTTCGACAGTGAAATTTCAGGTATATTTATTTTTTTATTTCTCAAGGACGACGAGAAAAGTATTTTTCGAAAAATAATAGCTTTCGTCACCAATAAACCAAAAAAGCTTTTTCAGTTGTATATTATTCAGTCATGTACTTTCCCCAATTTTGCGGAAAAAACCTAAATAATGTTTTACAAAAGGGGGGGGGGGAGGAAGAGAAAGTAAACACCCCTGATATTTATTCAGAGAAATGTTTGAATTCTCCTCCTCACGTTTGATTGTTTATTTACCTTCATAATATCAAGGAAGTCGTTGTAGACCTGAGGCTGGTTTCCGAACTTGAACTTCACCTGGTCCAGGTAGGACAAAGCGTCCTCAACCTTCAACCTCTGAAACAGGACAAAATTATAATATTGCTAGATAACTGAATACAATTTTTATTGGTATTTTTAGTAGTAAAACAATAACAATATCATAATAGTAGCAGAATGGTAACAATAACCATATTAATAATATTAATCCTAATAGCTTAAGCCTTTAAGGTGAATCAACTACAGAAACAAATTTCACTAGTCCTATTAGATTCAGTTTAAAGTGCCGATTAACTCTATAAAAACTGGGATATTAGATGAAAAATTAATTGAGAATCGAAATTATCTATTGGCTTTATCTTTATTCAAGAACATTTCCTGATAGAAAATAAATTAAATGTCCAACTTTTAAAAATATGACCAAAAACGACAGTTTTATCACTAAAAAGATAACACGCTGGACTAAGGTCGATTTTACTTCGAACAGGGCCGACCCCTTGTACCGGCCTTAGTGATGCGCGGCAAGTACCGCCTCGCCCGTATTCTATGTCAACCCGGTTTTAATTTTGATGACGCGGCCAGACTTTTACTGTACATGGCCTATCAAAGGCATATTTCAACTTTACCGCTAGCTCAGTTTAGTGTGATTACAAAGGTTCAAAATGATAAGACACAAAAACAAAATTCAAAATTGTCACAACTCTACACAGAAAGAAAATCTTTTTTTGTTGTAATTTTTGTGATTTTTTTTTACATTTAAGATCTAACGATTTACCATTAGGATAAATAAGTATTAAATAAAACAAAATTTCAAATTTTGAAATAATTTCCGTTGTTGGAAAAATAAATTATTTTATAACTGATTTGAAGACTAAACATTTTTAAATCCATGTATAGAATCCGGGGATATCTGGCAAAAAGATAATTATTTTCTGAAAAAATTAAGGATATCTTAACGTGGTAGAATTTGACTAAGTGGACCAACCCTTTGAAATATTGAATACCTGAAAAGAAGGATTTCCGGAAGTCGGAAGCACCTGCGCCGGTGTAACCGTCCGGACCGTCGTCTGGCCGCCGAAAACAGCTGCCGTGTGTGCGCTCTTCTGAAGAATGTGCGCGGGCTGATGCAGTTGCATTGTCTGTACGTTTGGCGCAGTTACAGCAACAATGGAATTTCCTAAAACAAATTCAATAATTAACAACAAGTATTTTTCCCTCCATATTTATTTAAATAGAACAGGTCATTTGTGTTAGTAATTAAATAAAAGATCTTTCAAATAGAACAATTTAATTTTTAAGATATTATTTGCTGTTTCTACTTTAGATTTGACATATAAAAACTTTTCATTGGTAAATATTGATCGCAAATTAACTGTAATGTTATTTTTTTTTTAAACGGTGTATTAGGTTGGCAAAGTCTTAAATATGAACTATCAATAAAAATGGGAATTTTTCAATCATTCTGTTTTTCAAATATATATAAGTCAGTATCGTTTTTTTTTAAATAAACCCACTGTCAAATGTCTCTGGCTTGCAACTACATAGACGAACATCTTTTAAGAACAGAACAACTTAATACCTTGAGTCCTTTGATGTCGAAAAAAACCTTTAGATAAATGGTGAAATAACAACGCTTTAAATAAACAATTTTAATATCGATTTTAAAGGGAGTGTTCCAAAAAAATGAAAGGGGGTATAGGCTTAATGCGATAAAAAAGCGCTTTTGATCGCTACTAATCTTACTTCTATCTGTTGCGTCTATAAGGAGAAACTTGTTAAAGACGTCTCATACCAAATAACTTATACAAATTGAGAAAATTGCAACATACTACTTAGACCGTAAAAAAATCAACTTAATTTCAAACAAATCATTCAGATATTACAACCTATAGTCATCGATTATCTTTCGCCACATTTGTATATATTTAATATTTCATACTAGTTTTGATTTTGTTTTTTAAAATAATATTTAGCTTACAACTTGTTGTCGAACATTCCTGGAAACTATGGAAATGTCGTCTTCCTTACCAAAAATCCTCGAAACAGGAATAAATGTAATTCTCAGATCATAATAATTAAAACATATTATGAAAAATCAACTATATATAAATGTGGCGAAAGATAATCGATGACTATAGGTTGTAATATCTGAATGATTTGTTTGAAATTAAATTGATTTTTTTTTACGGTCTAAGTAGTATGTTGGAATTTTCTCAATTTGTATGGACGCCATGTTATTCGGTATGAGACGTCTTTAACAATTTTCTCCTTATAGACGCAACAGATAGAAGTAAGATTAGTAGCGATCAAAAGCGCTTTCTTATCGCATTAAGCCTATACCCCCTTTCATTTTTCGCGAACACTCCCTTTAAAGAAGGCCGTGAACAAATTTTGAATTATTGTTCCCTTAAACCCTTAAAACCCTTTTACCCCTGCTTCAAAACTGAAACCACTGAGAAAATGTACTGGGCAAATAAGAAATTCGAAAATGTTTGAATCGTATATTTTTTGGTTCATTTCCCGGAATTTTCCAAAAGCATTTCTGTCGTCTTCAATTAGTTCAAAAATTGTTTTGTTGCCTCTTTAAATACTGCAAGAATGTTTTTCCATTTTATTCGGTTTAGAAGAAAAGCTTAAACAAATTTTTTGATTGACATTTTTATGTAACATAATTTCAAGTGAACCTTCGGGTGACATGTCCGATTAACAACGGTAACCATACAACCTTCAAACCAGATCAACGATGAATGTGATATCAATATCTAACGGATTGAAAATTGATTATTTTCAATTGAGGGTTCTCTGTAAAAGTGACTTGCGGATTTCTGAGGACGTTGTAAAACTTTTTAACTAACAATGGAAAAATACTGATATTTTTAGCTTGTTGCGTGGGTAAATTTTTAAGGACACAATTGTAAACTGAGCTGAATGGTCTCCTGAAATAACGTTAATATATCCTTTAATAATCATATACTCAGTACTCACCTAATATTTTACGTGTAAACGCGAAGGATAAAGTTTGTGTTTGATAAATTTGTACCTGTTACAACAGCTCTAGAAAACTGAACAGAAACTGGAGTATTTGGTAAACAGATAGTTTCTCCTTGCTTCGGACCTAGAAATAGAAGGGTTAGATAGAAAATGAAGCCTTTAAAATATAAGAGTTGGATAAAAATATAAGGGTTGGATAAAAATATAAAGGTTGGATAAAAATATAAGGGTTGGATAACATATTGAAGGGTTAGATAGAAAATAGAAGGGTTAGAAAGAAAATGGAAGGGTCAGATAGACAATAGAAGGGCAAGATAGAAAATAGAAGGATTAGAAAGAAAATGGAAGGATTAGATAGAAAATAAAAGGATTAGAAATAATATAGAAGGGTTAGATAGAAAATAGAAGGAATAGATAAAAAATAAAAGTGTTTAATAGAAAATGAAATGGTTAGATAGAAATAGAAGGGTTAGTAGAAAATAAAAGGGTTAGAAAGAAAATAGAAGAATTAAAAAGAAAAGGAAGGGTTAGATAGAAATAACAATGCGTCTCAATAAATATGGCTGATATTTGAGTTTATTTGAGATAAAAAAAACCGTGATCAACAAGATATTTCAAAAATATGATTTCCTTTTCCCAAGATTATCGGGCTAAAGTTTAAAATATCAGTTTCTTAAAAAATCCAAATTTGTGTTGATTTCAGTGACCCTCTATGCAAGGTTTACAATGCCTGATTCAAAAAGCTTTGACTGATTAATTTAAAATTAGATAATTATTGTTTATGATTTGGAAAACTGTTTAAGTGACTTTTCCACTGCAGGAAACATACAGAAATTATGAGAACACTTATAATCCTAGAAAAACGACAATATCTTTCACAATACTGATCAGATAAAGGTTTCACGGGTGCAGTTGTGAATCTTTGCATGAAGGGTCACTTTAAATTACGCTTACAGTCCCTAGAATGTACAACTAGTAACTGAATACACTTGGCATAATTGACAAGTTATAATTAATAGGAGTGATTTGATTGCTAATATTTTTGTTGATTAAATTTTTATATTTCTGATTTCTACTATTACCTGCAGTTAGCTGATGAATAACTGTGTTAGGCTGAGCAGAGTGGGCAGGGGGGGCGGGGGTCAATGTTGCCCCCTCCCTATACACAGCAACATGTTGGGGGATCACTCTAGCTCCGTAGTTGGGGGGCCCTGAAAATAGAAACAAAATTATTTTTTAGAATATTACTAGCTTTATCAATATAATATCCTTGAGAAATCATTTCTAGATTTTTTTACAGAAAAATCAAAAAATATATTCTTGTTTTGTTCTTATAATTTGTTTTGTTCTTGATAATTTCCCTTGTTCTTTTTCAAAAAGGTATAAAATTTTAGACCCTAGAATTTCTACTTAGGAAATGAACAAGTTTACTTCAATTAACCAAAAAGGTATTATCCCAATTGCAATTACTTATTTGAAATATCTCTTGCTATAAAACAATAAGAAACAGATTAAGTTGACGAAAAGGTATTGTAACAAGTAATTTCTACCCCTGATTGTGAACTAGAAGATTAAAGGTATCAGGTGCTGTTTCTAAGCCAATTTTTAATTCCAACGGGAATCCTTGCAAATTCAAACAAAGTAAGAATAAGTTTTTACATCAATAGGTTTTGTTTTTTAAAACTTTTTTTACTTGGTTAATTTAGTTTTTGACCTTTCAAAGGTCATTAATCTGAATATGAGGGGCATCTAGAACTAATCTGGGTGAAATTTATAGGCATGTCCCAAAAAATGCCATTTAACATTTAAACAAAATAATATCCCACCAATAGTATCACAGTCCATAAAATGTGCCACAAATGGTATCTTATTGCATAAAAGCTGCCACACAATAAATGGTGAGGGCGGTGAAATGTTTTTTTTTCACTTACATTTCTATCATCCATGATTTTTTTTACCTGTTACAGTGACACCCTGTGTGGGCGGCATTGATGTCGCTAGTTCAGGGAGCATCCGGACAGGGACAGGATAAACAGAGGTTCCTCCTTCAATCTTAAAAAAATTGTTAAAGGGACTGTAAGGGTAATTTCATGTGACCATACACGCAAACATGACAATGCCCGATTCACAACGAGTACCCTTGAAACCTATACATAATAAAAAAATTAGAAGACATTGTCGTCTTCATAGGTTAAGAAGTGATCATCTCTGATAATTCTTTTTTGTTTTCCTGCATTAGAAATGTGAAAGTAACTTCTGTAGAAAAATCACAATTGAATATAATCAGTTTTTCACTAAAACCTGAACAAGCCAAGCTTTTCAGGGTACCGATGTAAGTCGGGAAATTTTCATCTTTGCATAAAGGGTGAATTGAAATTAAGCTTACAATCCCTTTAAAGCCAGGACAAATTCTGAAAAAAGGGATCAAGGTTTTCCCATGTTTACGAATCTTCTTGGAGAAATTTAAACAAATTGAAAAGTGCTCAGACCGAGTTCTGTTTATATTCCGCCAAGAAAACGCAAAACACTTTTTGTGTTGACAATGATTTAGGAAATCCAGGTTTATTCCTACGATGATCTAACCTTTATATAAAAAGCAGTTAATGCTATTTCAGAACAGAAATGAGCTTTGTTCCCTTTATAAGCAATACATAATTAACCGATAAGGAAGTTTTTCTTAATACATAAAACCCTTTATGATAATAATTTTCATAAAAATAATATGACTTGTCAATATCCAGTGCAGGGGTGTACAATTTTCTTCGTCTTTTCTCCTTTCTCCGGTTTTTTCTTTTGAAGCAAGGGAAAACAAACGATTTTTAGGGGTAATTAATAAAAAACTTTAACAAAAAACTTGCCCTTCAATACAGATTTTTAATTTTTTTTTTAACAGTTAGTTATCCCTCGCAATATCAAATATACTCTTATTTAGAAAAAACGAGACAGAATTGATCTTGATTCCGATTTTGCAGAATTGAATATACCCAATATGGAGAATAATTTGCACTGAAAAACTATCCATTGCGTTGAGAATAAATAATAATATAAATAATAATAATACCTTTGTAGCAGTTTGTGTACCACCTCTGTCCTCAACCCGTTTCATAGCAGTAACTTCTTTCTCTACATCCAAACCTTGATCAGAAATATTTTAAATAATCATTAAAAGTACAATTAATGCAAAAAGGGTTTAGGTCGAATTTAAACTAGTCATCCAAAAGTATAACTGCAGGCTCACTTAAAAAATCTAGATTTGAAATTAATTTAAGAAAAACCAAATCAGTACAGATTTTAACTCCTAATTTTTTGGTTTATTTGACTTTTAATTTTCTATCTTAAAGATAAATTCATTGAATTCACTGAAATAGTATTTCATTTGTTTTTCTCCAGTTCAATTATCTATAATTGACGAAATTAAAAAAATGTTTTGAATCATGAAGGGGGTCATATTAACCCCCCCCCCCCCAATGCACTGAACGTTTTTAAAACAGTCTTACTTACAGAACGTCGTGTGTGCAGGGTAAGCCGGGGGGGGAATTTGCATGGGGGATATAATTTGCTAACAGTGGGGGGTGTACAAATGTACCTCCTTTCCTAAATAACGGAAATTCTTAAAAATAGTAGCAATTTTGAATTTATAAAATATTACTTCTCATTTCATGGCGTAAAATTATTTGTGACGCAATGTTATGAAATGAGTTCATTATTTGGGTCACCCTTAGTTCCACGACGCTCACAAATATACCGGACCTCTCTCTATTCCAGACTCTACGAATGTCTAGTTAGCTATCTTACTATCCTTCACGGCAACATGGTGGGAAAAACTGAGCGCTGAGACTAAAATCAAAATATTGCACGGCCAAAATAGAAAACTTAACCTGAACACTTTCTGCAAAAAGAAATTAATATTTTTTGCAAAGAAATTTTAAAATAGTAGAAATATCGAAAAAGTGCAATAATTTGCATAAACAATATTATTGAGAAGGTGCAATTTTTACTATCAATATGCGGAAATATTTATGAACAAACACTTTTAAATAAACCTTCTTTCCAAACAAGAAACTTTGCCCATGAACAAATTTTAATTGATTACATGATTTAAAATCGGCTCAAACGCAAGGAGTAAAGTTAGAAACTGAAGCAAAAAACATTTTTAAAAAATTACAAATTGGCCAAAAAGTAAAACTATAAGTTTAAAATTTCATCAATTTCATCTAAAAACAGAGTTATTTTTGAGATGACCACTTATATAATTAAACACATTTCACACAGCTAACGGGTCTGTCCTAGTATACGATTTTTGTACATGACCATTTATTTTTCAGCAAATTTATTATTATTTAAATTTTTGTTATTTAGCACACTTTCTGGGCCGAGCGCTGCGGCTAGGATGGGCTAGGGGGCCGAGCGCTGCGGCCAGTATACTAGGAAATTACCCAGCTAACTCCTATACCTGAGTCTGGAAAACGTTCTTCTACAAAGAATTGTTATTTTTTCATGTTTTAAGCTAAATTTTCAGTTTTCACTTATACCTGGAAATGTACTTGACCAAAAGGATCAGATTACGGGTCAAAATCCTCGAATTCCCTTTAAATAACGTTTAAAATAGCCGAACGTAAGGGAAGGGAAAAGGCCTGACTCGAGAACCAAACACACTGTATCTACACTCTACACTTTCAAACCTGGCCAAACTTTGTGAGCGCTGTATAGAGATAGGAGTTTGTGAGCGGTAGGATTTGTACAGGACTGCCGTAAGAACGGGGGGGGGGGGGCATAAGCTGACTTACTAAGGTTGGACAAATGGTCCCTGAAATGACTTTGAAAAAAGTAACCTTGAAATTCAATATTTTAAAATTTAAAAAATGATGAAATCCTCCAAAAATAAGTTAAAATTTTTCTTGTTGTTTTAAAAGATTAAAAAAAGGTTTCCACGATCAGCATTATATAGGATAGTAATTTTGTTAAATATGAGTATTATAACTTTAAGATTCTATGTTTAAATCAAGGAGTATGGTATATAAGGGAGAAGGAAACGACCCGGCTCGCTCTTCCAAATGATTATACATGCAATGTAGACGGTACTACATTTGGATAAGAAATATTTGTCTGAGCCTGTTCTCTCTCTTATAATGAATAAAAAACGGTTGTGTTGTTTACATACTTTGGGGGACATTAGTTTGGCTGCTTGAGTCTCTCATATGAATTATCTGTCAGATAAGAATTTTGCATGAGCCATCTAGAGCACTATAATCCCCCAAAGTATGTGAAAACACCACCACTGTTTTTGTATTAGAGAACAAGCTCTGATATATATACACTGTGTACATGTATTCAGAATAGGTTATTGTATACATTTAACAGAAAAAAAGTAAGCTGAATAACACCAAGCAAAAGTTTTTTTGAAAGCAAGAATATTGGCACTACAAACATATTTTTTATGATATAAAAATCAGTTTTATTAAAACATACCATCATCAAATTATGTAAAATCATATGATAGGGCAGGCCAGGTGGTTTTCTTCTCCCTTATATTCCATACTCCTTTTTTGTAACATAGAAACACAAAGAGAAGTTATAATTCTCATATTTAACACAATTACTTCTGTAATGCTGAGTGGAAACCCCAAAATCATAAGAATGTCAAATTCAGGCCGTAACAAACAGTTTTTGTAAAAGATTTAAATAAGCTCATAAAAGTTTTTCGGGTTTTTTGAGCAACAGATACAAAATTGGGCAACACATTTGCTTCCAGTGAAACCTCTAGTATAGAGGATTACAAGATGAAAGTTTTATTGCATACAATATTCTATGCTATTCTTTAACAAAACAGTTTTAACAAGTGTTTATGATTTCATTTTATAAATTCACATGTGAAATAAATGAAAATTTGACATTTTGATGCATTGCTAAGAATTTTCATAAAATTTTCATTTACAAAATCTTTCAAGTTGTCAAAAAAATAATCTATTTAAGACTAGTAAAAACTTATCTGGGAAAAATGGACCTAAAAATCTAAAGAAAAAAAAGTGGCTTTAAATTTTAAAATCTAATTGATGTCAGCTTTTATTATTATTTAATACTGCCTGAATCCCTTTTTTATTATGAACCATTATTGATAAGGTTTTATTTTTTTTATCTGTGGATATGTTTTTAAAAATTGTTTATTCTAAACATTTTGTTTTATTACATACATAATTTTGACAGAAAATACATGCTAAAAACGAACCAATAACTAAACAAAAATGAATCAAAAGGAAAAATGTTTTAACAATCTAAAGATATTGCAAAGTTTAATTAACTTTAAGATTGCGAGATAAAAAGTTGTAGGCAGGAAAACAAGGGACAAACAAATTTTCTTAAGGAAAAAAAGTTTATATTTATTTATTTAGTCCTTTTTTCCCCCAAAGCAACAACTTCATGCAGTTGTTTTTTTAAAGGGTTACACCGACAACGGACATTTCTTTTATTTAGTTTGTATAATGGAGCGTTTTGATGCCCTGAAGGGATCAATAACCAGGTCCCCCTTGAATTTTTTTACATCAGTCTTGAATGTGCAACTTTTTATGATATTGCTATTAAAGGGAAAATTATGATATTTTTCCCCCAAACAGGTTTCGCTTCTTTTTCCTTCCATTTCCCCCTTTTTCCCTTTCAGATATATTGTAAAATATACCTATAGCTATTCCAGGGCCCGCCTGATGAAAAATATATTCGTAGGGAGGTCTTTTGGAGAATTTTTTGAAACATTTTTTTAAGAGTAATATTTAATAAATCCAATAATTGAAAAGGTAAAAAATAAAATAAAAACAAAAATCTCAAAAAATAAACCTAAAACAGCTGACATTAAGCAAAGCCAAGTATATCGAGCGGTGGAATGTAAGACCGGTGAGAGGCAGGTACCGAAAATTTGGAACGGACCTAGACGGTCGCCATATTGAAATAAGCCGTCACAACACAAAAATGTAAAAAAATCTTAAAACTTACTTTTTTCTCACATCAGTCTTTCGTTGAAATGAGCTTAACTGCATTTTATAAATTCGCAACACTTTAAAATCACAATTGAGATTGTATAACAGACGTTTAAGGTCTAACACCAGCGTATGCTTGCAACTATCCGACATCAACTCTCCGCACTTACTTCTCCTTTGAATGAAACTACCACCTTCTTCACCCCGAAAGTAAACTTGGACTAATCCATTACATTAAATTCAAACTCTGACTCTAGATTATTATAGAGACTTGAGCATTATTAAAAGTTCAGACTCAGAAAAGAAAATACTGTTTTTTGGTTTAATATATGTCCCTCTTCGTGCATTAATTATCCGTCTTTCAATTTATACTTTTATAATTCACAAGTTTAATGTTGATTTTATAGATTTAAAAAACCTTCCAAAACTAAAGTTTTACTTAATTTATTTCAAAGGCCCGTAGAAAGGCCATCCCCCTTACCGGTGCACTCCCCTTTCTCCTAAAAGGGGGTGGGGTAAAAAGACATATTTGCCGACGAGTTGAGCTAACAATTGCATTTTATATTTTCAAAAACTTTGATCAAATTATTGTATTTAGCTTCCGACAAGAGCGTAAACAGAAATAAATATAGGGGGGGGAAGGGCAAATAATTTTTTTCAAAATTGAATTCAAAACATTTGAATTCTCAAGGCAAACATCTTACAACTAGCGCGCCGGTCAGAATATTGACATCGGAAATTAATCGTGTCCCTATTTACCAGTAGTTTGATATATCGCATACTACTTTTGTTTAGAATCAGGCCCATGCTTGAAATAAAATATATTTGTTTAATTTTTTCATGATTGCGCGCGCGCGTGGGGACTTGAGGCTCTTGGGCGCAAACTTTTCGGGAATTTCTTGCGACCTGATGCAATTTCAAGTTCATGTGGAAACGCAAAAAAAACGTGTTTTCTAACAAAAAGCGCGCGCACACATTTGCTCCGATCTATAATGAAATTGCATTATGCAGTTACAATACGTAACATTAGTGAGTTTGTATGCAAAAAATCAGCGTCGACAATATGCTAAGTTATGTTTATAACCACTGTTTAGATTTTCCTGAGAGTAATACAACTTATGACCCCCCCCCCCCCTTTACTTTTTGGCTTAAATTTTTATTAAATCTAACGACAGAAAATGTTGACAATTTTGATATTACTACTTCATCAAACTTTTATTAAAAAAAAACACAAATCCATATTGTTTATTGTTTACAAATTGGATAATCAAAAATCACAGGGTTAACAAATGGCTTTTTGCTATATACTCTAATTGTTCAGGAATATATAATATTATAGAATTTTGATATTATTACTCATTCTCATTTGAATTTTCCTGTGTACCATACCATCAAATTAAAAGAAACAATACAAAATAATAGCAATAAATAATAATAACATGTTCTCAATATCAAGAAATTCAATATAAAATTAATAGTTTTTATTAAAAAAAAGAAAGTATTACATTCTCTGTTATACTATTTGACATGAAATTCAAGCAAAAAATTCTAGTTTTCATACTGAAATTACAAAAAAATATCCGTCCCTCTGTAACCCCCAATTCGATTCACAACTTCATGTATAGCTGGACAAAATTCGATATCAATAGCGTAAATAAGGGGGGATATTTGGGGTTACTCAACCCCCCCCCCCCCCCTAGAATCTTAGGGGACAAAAACATCTCCGTTTTGTAACTTGATCTCCATTCTCCATGTCCATGATTACCATCAAAAGGAAAAATGTAAAAAAAATTATTGGCGCTTCGCGCACATAATCTTACTCAATCAACTTTAACAAAGTAACATAAATAACTTTTAACCCCAAATTTTTTTTACAGATCTTTGTAGTTAATGTAAAATGAATGACTATAATGAAGGATATAACACAAATGAATTGCCTTTATTTGATTAAGTTTGTAAATGTCAGAAATGAGTGGAAAATGCAAATCAAACCCAACTAAAACCAATAATTTGATATACATCATGATATTTTTTCTAGGGGGGGGGGGGAAAAAAAATTTTATTGGGGGGTTGATTTCAAATATTGAAACAAATGACCCCCCTCCCCCCACAGAATCCTTATTTACGCCACTGTTCGATATTCTAAGATTACATTATAAAAATCTTTGTAACGCAATGAAGCTTTTCTTCAGATTTCGCTGATATCAATTATCATCAAAACATTTTTGCCCTCCCCTCCCCCAACCTGCAAGCAGAAGTAATCTAGGCGATTTTCAAAATGCAATTTTAACCAATACTAAAATGAAATTCTTTTCCGTCGTTTTTTGTGTTTCTTTTACCTTTGGTTAAGAAATTCACAAGTCACTTTCTGAAGAAGCTGAGATAAAAATTAATCAGTTGATGATTTTAAGCAATCTTTATCATGCCGACTTTATTGTACAATTCCAAAAATCAACAAATTCATTTACTTTCCCCAAAATTCAGCGAATAAAACGATGCCTAATATGGGGAAAGGACATTATTTGCCATTTGTCAAGGAAATATATACCCCCGTCAACTAAGGATCGGTCTATGCGTTAAAACATAAAAGATTCAAATTGTGCGTATTGTGCCCATTCTTTAAATTTCGTTGCTTGCAGTTTTATTTTACCACTGAAAAAGGTTTAATCGACCCAAATTAAATATTAATTATATTTGTTTAAATCTAG